TGGAGGAGGAGGAAGAGGAGGAAGAGGAGGAGGGGGGAGGAGGAGGAGGGGGAGGAGGAGGGGGAGGAGGAGGAGGAGCAGGAGGGGGAGAAGGAAGAGGAGGAGGAGGAGGAGAGGGAAGAGGAGGAAGAGGAGGAGGAGGAGGGGAGGAGGAGGGGGAGGAGGAGGAGGAGCAGGAGGGGGAGAAGGAAGAGGAGGAGGAGGAGGAGAGGGAAGAGGAGGAAGAGGAGGAGGAGGAGGGGGAGGAGGGAGGGGGGAGGAGGAGGAGCAGGAGGGGGAGAAGGAGGGGAAGAAAGAAGAGGAGGAAGAGGAGGAGGAGGAGGGGGAGGGGGAGGAGGAGGGGAGGAGGAGGAGGGGGAGGAGGAGGAGGAGGAGAAAGGGGGAGGAGGAGGAGGAGAAGGAGGAAAAAATGTGTTGGGACAGGGAAGGGCCTCTTTTTAAAAAAATTTTTTTTATCAAATCACAGGTGAATGTGATTATTCAGGTCTCCCAAAGAAGAATAGAAAGAGCTATGCTTGGAATATCACGTTTCACTCAAATGAGAGAACGAATCCGGAGTTCTGACATCCGTCGACGATCAAGGATCAGGGACGCTGTCTCATTTGCCAAGGTGTCGAAAATCAGATGGGCTGGTCACGTAATGAGATTTAAAGACGACCGTTGGAGTAGAGCTGTTACTGATTGGATTCCACGGGATGTCAAGAGACCGCGTGGCCGCCCACCTACCAGATGGTCAGACTTCTTTGTCAAGGTCATGAACGATCGGTTTGAGGCCCTCCATGTTCCCGGAGCGAAGAGATGCCATTGGGCTACACTAGCACGCGACAGGGACAAATGGAGACGTTACTGGCGCCCGCTCGAGCAAATCGACGACTAACGGGAAGTTAAGTGATTAAGTGATTTAAGTGATCAAATCACAGTGAGATACAGTTACAAGCTTTCATGCTTGAATTTCAGTCATGAATGATGGGACACCCATCCCTCCACCAGAGCCCATTCTCCACCCCCAATGTCCCCAGTGTCCGCCCCCCTGCCTCCATGGCAGACAATCTCCCCCACGCTCTCTCTCTACTTGGGGACACTTTGGTTCGCAACACCGAGAGGCCATCACGCTTGGTCCTTGATCTGCTTCCAGCACACACCTCCCATCCGGACCGATTCCTCTGACCGTGTTGACTTGGCGATGGGAATGGGAAGCCGCTTTCAAAGGCGCTTTCCTGCAGGTGCTGAGGCTCCGCCCGCTCGCGGCAGGAGGGACTTGGCATCTCGGACTCTCCTGGCCCTCCCACCTCTGACAAAGGCCTGCCCAGGTGCGATGCCGGCTGGGCTGCGGGGCCCAGGAAGGGGATTAGCAGCAGGTGGGGCGCGAGGAAACCTCCCGGGAAGTGGGACTGCAACTTTTGGACAGAGCCCAAAGCAGGAAATACCCGCAGGCATCAATACCCTCGGCAAAGCGCAGTTCAGGGCCTTGGCATGCTCCCCCACCCTCTGCAGTGCTCTCCACCTTCCCACAGAGCTTCCCACCCTCTTCAGTGCTCCCCACCCTGCCAAAGTGCTCCTCCCCTCCTGTAGTGCTCCCCACCCTCCTGCAGTGCTCCTCACCTTCCCACAGAGCTCCCCACCCTCTTCAGTGCTCCCCACCCTGCCAAAGTGCTCCTCCCCTCTTGTAGTGCTCCCCACCCTCTGTAGTGCTCCCACTCTCCCAACGTGCTCCCACCCTCCTCAGTGCTCCCACCCTCTTGTAGGTTTCCCCACCCTCTGCAATGCTCCTGCTCCCCACCCTCCGCAGCCCTCCGCAGTGCTCCCCATCCTACTGCATGCATCCAGGAGTCACAGGAACAGTGAGGGATGGGTGGACAGGTGGTCTCTGCTGTGTCCTGCTCCGTGGCCACAGGAGTCAGGAGCCAAGTGTGCTCTGAGTGTGCATCTCAGTGCCCGCCGCTTCCCACTGCTTGCTCTGAACTCATGTGCCCCACCCAGCGTCCAGGGCACGGGACCCTGGCAGTGCTCTCGCCCCCGAAAGGGGGGCTCAGTCCCGGGAGTGCAGCCCCTGGGCAGGGCTTCGAGGGGGGTTGATGTCTGCACCTCGGGGGCTGTTCCTGAACCCAGGCTGCCGGGTGGGGTCCCTCCCTGATTCTTCTCCAGGTCCTGCCGCCCTGAGAACGTCCAAAGCTTCCACCTAAGTGAACTTTCCAGAAACAAACACGGAGCTCTGGGTTCCCTCCTGCCCTCGGCTCCCGTCTGCTCCTCCCCTCTGGCCTGCAGACACGTGTCTCCGTGTTTAGGACTCACCCGGCACCAGCTGTGAGCCTTGGCGGTGCTTGAGGGAACCACGTTTGGTGCTGGGGCCAGGGTCACGGCCTCGGCAGCCATGTGCAAGGCTAGTGCCTGTCCTGTGCTCTATCCTGCTGTGTGTGTGTGTGTGTGTGTGTGTGTGTGTGTGTGTGTGTGCGCATGCACGTGCAGACGCCACTGTCAACAGTGTAGGTTAAGCAGAGGGCATTGGGAAGGAGAGGGATGTTCCGTTATGGAAGTTGCCAAGAAGCCAGTCGAACAAGGGGCTGCAGACTTGGCGATTAGACAGAGAGAGCACCCAGGGGCCCCCCTTGAGGGAGAGAGGTGCATATGGAATATTCCCCAGAAAATGGTACCCTTGCTCTGCCTTTCTTCATTTTCTGGGGCTTGTTTTTGGGGCCATACCTGGTGATGCTCAGGACTTACTCCTGGCTCTGCTCTCAGGAGTCACTCCTGGCGGTGCCCCGGGGGCCATAATATGAGATCCGTTCCTACCACCTCCCCGCCTCGGCTCCGCCGGCACTAACTTCCTCGTCTGCAATGAACTTTCTTCCCTTGGTGCTCACTGATCTTCGCCCGCTCACTTCCCTTCACGGGACAGAGGCGGTCATGTCTGGGAGAGGAACTGCCTGGGCGCTGTTTTCTTTCCACGACACCAGTCAGCAGCGAACACGGTACGAATGCATGGCCGGGGGTACAGCCACCTTCAGGCCCGTGGGCCCTGCGGCTTGGACATTGATGTATCACATGGGAAGAATGTCCCTGGGGCTGGGAGAGCAAGTGTGTGTGTGTGACAGCTGATGGTGCTGGGGGACTGTGCCTGGGTTGGTGCTTGGGGGTCACTTCCGCAGTGCTAGGAGATTGTGCAGTGCAGGAGATCGAACTTGGGGGTCCGGAACAAAAGCATGTGCTCTAGTCCTTGAGTATGTTCTTAATTAAAGAGGAGCTGCTGCTGCTTCTCTTCGTCCCCCTTCTCCTCTCCTCCTCCTCCTCCTCCTCCTTCTCCTCCTCCTCCTCCTCCTCCTTCTCCTCCTCCTCCTCCTCCTCTCCCTCCTCCTCCTCCTCCTCTCCTCCTCCTCCTCCTCCTCTCCCTCCTCCTCCTCCTCCCTCTCCCTCCTCCTCCTCCTCCTCCTTCTTCTCCTCCTTCTCCTCCTCCTCCTCCTCCTCCTCCTCCTCCTCCTCCTCCTCCTCCTCCTTCTTCTCCTCCTTCTCCTCCTCCTCCTCTCCCTCCTCCTCCTCCTCCTCCTCCTCCTTCTTCTTCTTCTTCTCCTCCTCCTCCTCCTCCTCCTCCTTCTCCTCCTCCCTCCTCCTCCTCCTCCTCCTGCTTCTTCTTCTTTGTCCTCTTCTTCGTATTTTGGGGGTGCACCCCGTGTGGTACTCAGGGCTTACTCTCGGTTCTGTGCTCAGAGATCACTCCTGGTGGGGCCCGGGGGACTCTATGTGGTGCTGGAATTGAACCTGAGATGGCGGCATGTGGGGCAGGTGCTGTGACTCTGATCCACAAAACATCTTCTTACTCCGCTTCTGAGAGGGGACAAGCTTTCCTGGGTCCGAATGGGGCCCTCGACCTGGTTGTTTGTGTGGTCATTTCACAAAAGCCAGCTGGGAGAGGTGACATGAGAGGACCCGGCGGCTTTCCGTTTCTACCTTTCCGTCGTCTCTCCCTCCGCTGGTTCTTGTTACCTTACATAACTAGGGGCTGCTATTCGCCGCAGTTGGAATTTCAGGATCCCCCGCCCCAGAAGGCAAGGGAAAGGCGAGTTTTCCGACAAGAGGCTTAGTGGGCAGGTCCCCGACTGGCAGGCTTTGTTTCCCAGAGCAAGGGGGAATTAGGACAGAATTCTGGCCTCTTTATTGTCCTTTGCTGCTTCTCAGGGAGTGAATGTGAGCGAGACAAAGGGTTGGCGCTTGCTCTGTCACTAATGCCTGTAATCGCCGAGACTTGGGGGCTCTTTCTGGGGGGCAAGGCGAGCGCTGCTGTTCATCTGTCTTCCCTAGGCCACCTGTCGTCCACTCAGTGTGTGGCAGGCTCAAACACGGAAACGATGCTGAAATGGCACTAACGTTGCAATGCGACGCTGTCAGTGCTGCACCCGTCTTGACCCCCGGCATGTCGGCAGACGCATGCAGGGTCCTGCCGGAAAGCCCAGCCTCACCGCGGGGCCAGCTCCTTCTGCTTCTGGGTCCGGCTCTCTTGGAGCCCGGCAGGTCCAGTTCCACACAGTCCATTCATCTGCGTTGCTTCTGTTTCGGGGACCGTGCCTGGGAGTGCCGATAGAGGCAGAGGGGCTACTCCCAGCTCAGCGCTTGTCGGTGTGTGTGTGGGGGGGTAGGGGGTCGGGGCCGTCCCTGACCCTGGCAGGGCTGGTTAAGGGGGGACTGTACTGGGCGGGGGATCAGAATCTGGACTCTCTGACCCTTCTGCAACCGAGCTCGGAGTCCTGGATTTAAACGCGATTCCTGTCTCGTTGGCTGCAGGGTGGCCTGCGACCTCCCGCTGTTCTCTCTTCGGGGAGACGCTCGGCTACATCATCACCCAGAGGGAACCACCTAGAGGGAACGGGCGTGGCTGTGAGCTGGTTTCAGGCGAGCGCGCAGAAGGCGGCGGTGGCGGCGGGGGCGTGGCCTCCCCGGGAGGGGCGTGGCCTCCCGGGAGGGGCGTGGCCTCCGCGGGAGGGGCGGGGCGCCGGCAGTCCCGCGCACGCGCAGCAGCGCCGCCCGCCGCCAGGTGAGTCGGGGCTCGCGGCGCCCACCCGGCTGCGCGCGTGGGAGGCCCCGCGCGCCCAGCGCGTCCAGCCGTGGGATTTTTATTTTTCCCAAAGCAGGGGGAGCATCGTTAGAGTTCGGTGGTGGCGCGTGTGAGCCGAGGGGCGCGGGGCCGGCCCGCGTGTTTCCGGGTCGTTTGGTGACCTTGGGTCCCTGCGGGGCCGCGCTGGGGGCGCGGGTCCGGGCAGTCACGGCGGGGGGCTGGGGTACAAGGACCCGGGGCCGGATCGCGGGGCGCACGGGGCTGGGGTGCAGGGACCCGGCCTGGATCCCGGGGGTGCATGGGACTGGATCTTGGGGTGCACGGGGCTGGGGTGTCGGGACCCGGGCTGGATCCCGGGGGTGCATGGGGCTGGATCGCGGGTTGCACGGGACTGGGGTGCAGGGACCTGGGCTGGATCCCGGGGGTGCATGGGGCTGGATCTCGGGGTGCACGGGGCTGGGGTGCAGGGACCCGGGCTGGATCGCGGGGTGCACGGGGCTGGGGTGCAGGGACCCGGGCTGAATCCCGGGGGTGCATGGGGCTGGATTGCGGGGTGCACGGGGCTGGGGTGCAGGGACCCGGGCTGGATCCCGGGGGTGCATGGGGCTGGATCGCGGGGTGCACGGGGCTGGGGTGAAGGGACCCGGGCTGGATCGCGGGGCGCACGGGGCTGGGGTGCAGGGACCTGGGCTGGATCCCGGGGGTGCATGGGGCTGGATTGCGGGGTGCACGGGGCTGGGGTGCAGGAACCCGGCCTGGATCCCGGGGGTGCATGGGGCTGGATCGCGGGGTGCACGGGGCTGGGGTGCAGGGACCTGGGCTGGATCCCGGGGGTGCATGGGGCTGGATTGCGGGGTGCACGGGGCTGGATTGCGGGGTGCACGGGGCTGGGGTGCAGGGACCCGGGCTGGATCCCGGGGCGCACGGGGCTGGATCGCGGGGTGCACGGGGCTGGGGTGCAGGGACCCGGCCTGGATTCCGGGGCGCACGGGGCTGGATCTTGGGGCGCACGGGCTGGGGTGCTGAGCGGGGAGCCGGGGTGCAGGGAGGGGGGGTGCGGTACTGCTCGCTGCACCCAGCCTGAGGCTCAAGCTTCGCTGGCTCCTGACTCAGGCCCCGGCTGCCCAGGGCGAGCTCCCTCCACGGGCTCGGAGCCCTCCCTCCCCCCTGCCCTGGCGGCTGGGCCTTCCCGCCCTTGGGGGTCTTCCCAGCACTGGCCCAGGCGGTCCGTGGGTCCGATTGTAGCGGGAGGGAGGCTCGCTGAGGGCAGGGGCCAGGTGCTGGCCTTGCCTGCCGCTCCCCTGGGGAGCCCCTCCATTTGCTCCCAGCACCTCTGGGGCTCTGCCCTGAGCACTGCTGGGGTGAGCCCTCCCTCAGATGCTTTCTTCGTGATTTCTTTGTGGGGGGGCGGGGGAGGCATTTTCCCATCCCTTTGCTTCCTTTCCCGGCTCAGCACTCGGGGATCATCCGTGCTTGAACCTGGGTCTGAGGTGTGCGGGCAAATGCCCAGTCCCCATCCTATGGTCCTGCCCTCCTCAGCTTCATCTTCTCCCAGCGAGACGTTTCTTAGGGATTCTTGTGTTCAGTCTGAGGGCAAAAACCCAGCAGCCCCCAGGGGCGGGCAGTGCCGGCCTCATCTTTCAGTCGGGGTGATCACATTTTCCTGGTGAGAGGAGGGGTTGGGCGGGGGACACACCTGGGAGCGATGTTTGTGGGGTAATTCCACCCCAGAAGGCTGCCCCGCCTCTGCACAGTGGACACAACAGGGACAGGTGTCCAGAGGACGGCGGGGGGCGGGGAAGCGGCCAGGCGCAGGACTGGCAGCATGTGAGGAGTTCGGGAGAGATGCGGTAGTGCCGGGGTTCCGTCCCTCCCACCTAGCCCCTACTGGGTGTGGCCCCAAACCACACGAAACACTAAGAACCATTTGGAGTCGCTGCAAGCAGGTTCCGGAGGTGTCCAGGCGGTCCCGTTTTCATCCCCGCTTTGGCCATCACCTCCTGCCTGGACTTCCTCAAGTCCTGTATTTGGCCCACTGCTCACCTGTGCGGATGACGGCCCGGGCTGAGCTTACTGCAAAGACTGTACAGAAGCTTTGGAGTTAAAAAGAAATTTTTGGGGGTGGGGCCCCATCCAGCAGTACTCAGGGATCACTCCGGGAGGACTCAGGGACCTCACAGGGTGTTGTGGGTTGAACAGGGCTCTGCCCGCTTGCTCCAGGCCGAGGAGTTTTTGTCCGACTGTCCTAGGCGCTCGTCCCGACAGCAGGGGCTGTTGCTACAGAAGTGGCCGCAAGTGCGACCCGTCCCCACCAGCTTCCGTGTCTTATTTACGCTAGGATGTCCCGGTCCATGGAGCCAACGGCAAAGAAGATCTTTAAAGGAGTCTTGCTGGCAGAACTGGTGGGCGTTTTTGGTGCTTATTTTTTGTTCAAGAAGATGGAGGCGAGCCAAGGTAACGTGGACTCGGTACTGCTTTCCGGAGGGTGGTTTAGTTGGCCCAAGCCTAGCCGGTTAGTCCAGCTGTTGCCTTCCAGGCCGGCTTAGCTATGGATCAGGGAGTCTCACCATGCTCACAGCCTGGCTGGGGAGAGGGCCATGGGGGGGGGGGCTCCATTTGCCTCTCACCTTCCTGGCCTGAGCTCAGGCTGCCCGGAGCGTGGGTCAGTGCTGGCACCAAACCTTCCCGTGCCCCTGCCCTTACTTCCGGTGCCCGTGCACCAGATTGGTGCCCCTTCTCAGCTGGTTGGGGGCTGCTGAGCTCAGTCCTGGGTTTAGGCAGCGCGTGGTTCCCCGAACCCTGCCAGGGCTTAGCTGGGCACTGCCAGGTGCGGCCCCCCACAGAAGCAGCAAAGCAGCGAGGCCCCTGGGCTGGGGAGGTGGCGCCAAAGGGCCGAAAGGCAATTTCGCATGGAGGAGCCCCGGCTTGGGCCCCAGCACCCCTGCACGCTGCCAGGGCAGGGCTAGAGCCACGGTCAGTTCCTGGCACCATGTGGTCCCCGGTGCCTCCCTGGAGGACGACCCGTGTGACCCCAGCACCCCATCCCAGGCCCTGTGTGGAACTGAGGATTGCCAGCAGGGCCCTGGGGCGTCCTGACCACTGCTCCTCCCACAGTGCTCTTATTCTCCTCCAGCAGCTTAGCGGCCTTTGGGACTCCCCAGGGCCCATCCCTGGGAAGGATTCCAGGTGCTGGTGGGTTTTGTTCTTTAGCAACTGAGGGGATGGGAGAAACATCCAAAGAGTTTAAACGCAAACGAAGCATGATGTCATTGTCCTCTCATTGTTCATTGATTTGCTTGAGTGGGCCCAGTAACATCTCCACTGTGACACTTGTTACTGTGTTTGGCATATTGAATACATCACGGGTAGCTTGCCAGGCTCTCCGAGAGGGGCAGAGAAATTGAACCTGGGTTGGCCGGGTGGGCCGTGTGCAAGGCAGATGCCCTACCCGCTGTGCTATTGCTCCAGCCCAAATGAAACATAAGATCGATCTTTAAAAACAGGGGAGTTTTAATTTCTAGTTCTGTAATAAGGGAATGACACCTGTAAATCATTCATAAGGCCATATAAGAATACATCACTGAAAAATTGTTTTTACATATTGCTTCTCAATAAATGACAGTTAAGAAAATAAATTACACAATACATACAGGTCAAAGAAACACTCCGATGTCGTGTTAGCAAGTGACGTCATTCACCAGCCATTCACCATCTCAACCACGTTTCCTAGCCTTCAAAAGTGTTCCTATAGGATTGTTTTTGTGCCGTCCACATGTACTCAGAACTTCCTCCTGGCCCTGCACTCAGGGTCCACTCCTGGAGATGCTGGGGATCAGACCTGGGTTGGTTGTGTGCGCAAGGCTGTGCTAGAAATGTCCTGTGCATCTTTCTGTGGGGGCTGTGGGTCTGGGTCTCCCCTGGCCATGTGGAGCCCCTGCAATTATTTATAAGTAATTTGGAGGGGGCGGGAGTGGTCGGGGGCCATGTGTGCGTGGATGGAGCAATCTCCCTGAGTCTCACATTTCCTGCTTTAGGGTGCCGGGACCAGGCCCAGGCCTCACCCGGCTCCCCAAGGCTGGATTTGAGAGACTAGAAAGTCTTTCAAAAACGTTCATATACTGAATTCCAGTTTTCTTTCAGATTTCAGGCAAACCATGAGCAAGAGGTTCCCCTTCATCTTGGAAGGTGGGTCCTTCAGTCAAGTAAGAGTGCAAAACCGATTCCTGACGGTTAAGTAAGGGCTGAATGATTTAACCTGTGACTTCAGAATCAATCAAATCCCAGTTTAAACCCAGCTCAGGCTTACCAGTCTGCTGGGGTGTTTTCAGTCCACCAGGGCCTGCCCCTGGGATTAGAGAACAAAGAAAGAGGACTCCAACGCCCAGCCCGGGGTTACAGAGGGCGCTGCACCAACGGGCGGCCCAAAGCGGGGAGGGGGACGGTCGTCTGTCCTCAGCTCTTCACGTGGTTTTGCAAACGACCGCTGTTTTGACCGCTGTTTCTATCTCTAGCGTACTACAAATCCATCGAACATTCTGGAATACATGGGATCAGAGAGCAAGATCAAGAAAAATGGCTCCGCAGCAAGAGCTAGACGTGAGTCGGGTTCAGGCCTTGGAGACCGCCCTTTTCTTGGGCCTCCTCGATCTCTGCGCCGCGCCCAGCCTCCGCCTGGAGTTTCTCTTTCTCCGGACGATGCTTTTCGCGTCCCGGCCGTGCAGCCAGTCGTCGCGCTCGGCCTCCCACCGCAGCTGTTTGAAACCTGGGGAGGAGGGCGCGGCTCTGTGTGGGGTCCCGTCCCGGGTGGGGGTGGGGGCCTCTCCCGCTGTCCGCTGTCAGGGCCCCGAGGCTGACTGAGGAAATGCTCCCGGAGGGCCCCGGGGGGCCGCCTGTGGGCTGCTGGCTCAGTCCCGAGTCCCAGCCCCAGGGACGAGAAGCCACTGCCCGGCAGAGGCAGCCCCTCCGCGGAAGTCCGGGCACTTACTCGCATTCTCTTTGTTGGCCATGGCGTTCATGCCGATGTTGTCAAACTTGGAGCCCATGTTTTCATCCAGCAGGTGCCCAAACTGGAACGATGTTTGCGTTCGTTAGAAGCAGACTCAGACAGGCGGGCTGCAGGCAGCACGCCCCCCCCCCCCCCCCCGCAGACAGGGCAGGACAGGCCGCCGGCGGACAGCTGCACGCAACACCCCCCTCACCTCTTCCGCAGACACGAACAGGCTGGAGTCATCCACTCTTCTCTTCTTTTTCTTTGGCCCTAAAAAAAAAAAAAAAAAAGAGTTCAACTGAGTTTATTCAATTGTCCAATTATCTTTGAGAAACCTTTCAACAAGATTTTGTTAAATTACAATGCACTTGGGGCTGGAGCGGTAGCTTAGTGGGTAGGGCGTTTGCCTTGCACACGGCTGACCCGGGTTCGATTCCCAGCATCCCATATGGTCCCCCGAGCACTGCCAGGAGTGATTCCTGAGTGCATTGCCAGGTGTGCCCCAAAAAAACAAACAAAAACACTACAATGCACAATTTTACCACAGCAGCAGGTAGGCTCTGAGAGTAGAAGCATCTCTCCGGGGACTGACGAGCCGTGTCTGCCCGTGACCAGTGTCCTCTTGCCTTTCAGAACTGGGCTGGCAGCCACCCCGCCCCACCCCACCCCACGGTTTCAGACAAGATTAGAGTCCCACAGCGGGCACGGATGGAGTTTGGAATATTTACAGGCAAAAATGTCAACTTGAAAAGTCTAATTATGTTTGAGTTCTTATTCCTTGGAAGAAGAATTCTACGAAGAAGCTGACTGAAATCATCCGTTTTATGAAGGAAATTGTGTTTTTAGTACTCAGATTGGTGCTCCTTTCAAAAACCTGTAATACTATGTTTTTAAAAATAAATTAGTAAATGGCTGTATTTATATTTAATTTCCACTAAGTATTTAATTCACTTAACACTACACTGTCTAAAAGATCAACCTAGAAATACCGTGTCTTTCAGTCCTCACTTTTTCTTTTGGCCTTTTGGGTGACATCAGCCATGCTCAAGAATTACTCCTGTCGGTGCTCGGGGACTACATGGGACCTTGGGGATCAAACCCAGGTGGGTCCTACCCACCGTACTGTCGCCGGAGCGACCTCCCCTTTTGGGAACAGCAGACGGCATCTCTGCACACTGGTATCTGACATCATGGGAGCCCCGGGAGAGCCCGCTGTCCACCTGTGCACTTAGCACAGCCAGGCAGGGATGTTCCCGGTCACCACAGCCCAACCGGAGGCGTTGTCCACCGGTCCCCACCACCCCCTGTGGTCCCCTGCCATCCACGAGGGCTGGCCGTGCTGGTGGTCCGCCTGGAGCCTGGCCCGCACGTGACGCGCCCCTCCCACCTGGGTACAGCCCGGCCGCGCTGCGGAGGGTGGACACACTTCCTCACCTTGAAATGACCCAGCGAAGTCAAAGTCGCGCCCGCCTTTCCTCTTGCTCTTGGCTTTGCTTTTGGTGCCGACTCCGCCAACGTCTGTGGCCCAAAGAAAGATTCCAGAACATCAGGGCTGAGAAGGAGCCACCCGAGAAGCCCCTGCATCCTCGGGGTGCCGCGCTCTGCTGTTCCGGGTGGCTCCTAACTCCGCGAGTCCAGGGGACCCCGGGCCCACCCCATACGCGGGGCCAGGGCAGAGCTGAAGGGCCACAAAGGGCACTGGCGTCCGTGAGCTGAGAGTGGCCGCCCTGAACTCGGCCTAGTCCCAGAGCAAGAGGCATCCGCCGGGAGCCCGCGCGGGGCCTCAGGAAAGCCCAGATGCACACTCGGCTGCTGACAGCGGCCGCCCGCTGCAGGGAGAAAGCCCGGCCACTCCTCTACTGTTCGCTGACAGGGCCAGGTCGCCCTGGGCCCCTCAGAGGGGCCGAGCAGGTGTGGGAGGGGGAGTGTCCGGCATCACGAGGCCCCGCTCTTCCCCGGCACCGCCTGGCCCAGCCGAGACCCGCAGCCCGGCCCCTCCTCACCGCCTGTTCCCCCCTCCCCAGTCACAGGTGACTGTTGGAGCCGTGTGACTGCTGGGGAGTGCGGCTCACCCGGAAGGCCCTCGCCCTCCTCGTCCGAGGCGTCCAGGAAAGTGCCGCCGTCGTCGTCGTTGTCGTCGAGGCCAGCGAAGTCCTCCTCGTCCATACTGCCCAGGGACACCTCGTCCTCGTCCAGGTCCTCGCCGTCCTCACTGCCCTCGGAATCCTCATCCTCCAGCTCATCCTTCGCTCCTTTCTTCCTCTTCTTCACGTTGCTGGAAAAGGCCCACCCGGAGCGTGCCAGCGAGGGGCCGGGGACCCCCTTCCACGGCGCGGCCCCCTGCCCGCCCCGCGCTTTACCTGGCAAAGTCGAGGTCGTCCTTTCCGCTGCTGAAGCAGTTGTCATCTTCGAATGTGTCTGCAAGGGGACACAGAGCCGTGAGCCCCGGGGAGCGCAGAGGCCCCGCGCCCGCTGTCAGCACCCGTGAGCCCCGAGAGGGAAGTGGCCTCTGGCATGCCGAGGAACCCTACGGGCTGGGGAGGAGCCTGCCCTGACCCGCAGGCCGAGTGAAAAGGGGCCAATTCACTTCAGCTTTCTAACATAAAAGTTCTTTCGAGGAAAGAGGCGAATATGAAACTGAGAAAGCAACGGAAACCACCAGCATCACGCAACACCTACTTCTGGCAGTTCTACTACAATACGCAAATGACCGAGGCCAATCGCGTCTCTCCAAATTCCCACCGTGTTTGGCTTCGCTTTACGTCTCCATTAAAATCTCAGTCCGAATTAAACAGCCGATCTGCTACCACTGTGGAAGCAGGTTAGGGCAGTGAGAGTGGTTGTGTTGTTGTTTGGGGCCCGCCCTGGGTTGCTCGGGGGACGGACCGTCTGCGGTGCTGAGGCTCGGACCCAGGCAGAGCAAGCACTGCACCCGCCGGACTATCTTGGAGGCCCCCTGTGGCGATTTTCCTGTTTCTGGGATTCTGGGATGGGGGGGGTGGGGGGACAGACGTGCGGTGGCTGGAGATGAAACCTGCACAGGCCTCGCGCAAGGCGACTGGCCGCCTGCTGCACCGTCGCGGCACGCTCCCCGCCCACCAGCGCTTTCATAAATGGACTCAAGCAACTATACCACCTCCTCCCCGAAGCACCGGCCCCAGCACACCTATTTTCCCGGAGCAAATGTGGTGATTTACAAACTCTCAATGAATCCCAGTCCTCCATGTGATCTGCCTGTATTTCTGGCAAAGGATTTTTAGACATTTTGGAGGGGTGGGGCCCCCAAGCGATGCTCAGGAGGATGCGGTGCTGCTCTGAACACCGTGCAGTGCTGCCAGACGCTGCCCCGGAAGCTCGGGGACCAGGGCCCGCCAGGAACAGAGGCCAGGTGGGGCCCCACTGGGACTGCCTGCCTGCGCCCAGCCCACTGCAGAGACCGCCCAGCCCTTGCTAAAAGCACTCAAAGCGAAGCCCTCCTCGAGCACCGACACTCTGGTCCTGTGAATAAGTCATGGCACTTTGTACAGGCTCAGGGAGGCAGTGCCGGGTTAAGGCTCCCGGCCTGTGCACGGTGACACTGGTCCGATCCGGAGCAACCTCCCAGCTCCGCCCCACCGGAACTTCTTACAAAGGGACAGTCGAGAATGCTCACCAATCATCTTTTCAAATTCATCGTCGTCCACATCTTCTATGCTTTCCTCGTCGAAATCCCTCTTCTGTTTCTCTTTGACAGTGACGTTCTTATAATACCTGCGGGAGAATGCACGTTGTTGATCCAAGAATTTGACTAAAAGGTCCTTTTTAGTTTCATCCGAGCACCTATAGCCCATGACACCCAGGCAGAAGCTGTTACCTCAGATGTATATAAAAGACTAAAATAATTTATGAATTGAGATCACTTAAACATGACTGGATACTTTTGAAATAATAAAAGATGTGGATTCTCCACCCCCCCCCCCCTTCATTTTTGGGCACACCTGCAGGTGCTCAGGGCTTGCTTACTCCTGGCTCTGTGCTCAGGATCACTCTTGGCGGGCTCAGGAGGCCAGAGGAAGTGCTGAGAACTGAATCTGGGTTTGCCATGTGCGAGGCGGGCGCCATACCGCTGTGTCATTGCTGTAGCCCCAGATCTGGGTTCCTTTATGCTAGCTGTGCTTCATAAGAACATTTCAACACAACTGGACGGTGCAGGAAAAGGTTTGGGGCTCAGCTTGAATGATGTACCAGAGTATCACAGTGAAGGAGGAATGTTGCCAATGACGGCCGAGCAGACGGGCTGTCTCACAGCTCAGTGACCACCACACTCTACAGGTGGACCAGAACCTCAGAACTCTTCACAAAAACGTTTTACAGTGACAGTCCATCAGGTGACCCAGCAGCCCCGTTGCTGCCCAGCGACACCAGGATCTGCGGGCCGTGCGGCCACCCTGCCAGTTCTAAGAGTCAGCGGCTTATTATTGTGCTCAGAGCACAGATTCAAAGCCCAGAAGCAAAGCCCTACGTTAAAAATGAAATTATAAGTGACGTCTCACAAAACTCGTGCTCAATTATTAAAAACCCACAAATGTATCTTAGTTTCACTTAGATGCGAGATGCGAAATGATTTATAAATTCCTTTCAGAAAAATACTGATATCCTCTAGTTTTTCCAAGAAAGGTCTATTATGGTAACACAGCATTTTATAGAACTTAAAAAATCTGAATGAACTGTTTCCCAAATAAACCCATAGTAAACGAAGTATATTACCGGTGAAAAAACACTTCATCCACTGGTATCTGGCTTTCTTCTTTGGCAAGAAACTCCTTACTGTTGACTAGGAAAGGAAGTTTACAATGTTTAAGAAGACACCATTGAACAGTCCATTTTGCTGATTGGAAGATTTTTCCTATGGTCAATATCCCCTTTCCTCAGAATAGAGGGTGACACAGTCTCTCTGGCATCGAAACTCACAGAGCGCTTTTCTTTTTTGCTTTCTGGGTCACACCCGGCTATGCACAGGGGTTATTCCTGGCTATCCACTCAGGAATTACCCCTGGCGGTGCTCGGGGGACCATATGGGATGCTGGGAATTGAACCCGGGTCGGCCGCGTGCAAGGCAAACGCCCTACCCACTGTGTTATCAATCCAGCCCCAGCCCTGAGATTTTAGCAGCCTCTTCTTACTCGTCTTTTCACAACGACTGGAGGCTCTTTGAGGGTCAGGGGAATGAGACCCGTTTCCCACCAGCCTGGGTGGGAAAGGCGCTTTCCTTGCTGACCACGAGGTCAACCTGGCTTTGCTCCCTGGTACCCCAGTTCTCTCTCTGACCTACCAGGAGTGATCCCTGAGTACGAAACTAGGAATAAGCCTGCGCATACACAGTCAGGTGTGGCCCCAAACCACCTTTCCTTCAAAAATATCTCACCCTGACGCAAAGGGATATGACTTCTCATTTTAATTCAGTCAGCTTCACATCTCTGGACCCCCAAAATGCAGGCAAGCTTGAAATGAAATGATGCATCAGCTGCAACTCAACCCTGGTCTGAACGAAAGGGTGCTGGCCCCCGGAGGCAAAGAACTGCTTCAGACGTGAACAGATGCACGTGCACAAGACGGGCTCAAAATTCCCAGAAACAGGCGACCGTCTACGTTCCAATGACACCCAAAGACAAAACCAGCTGTGGGGCTTCTGCCACACTCTTGTTGGAGAATTTAAGAGTCTGAGATCCTACAGTCGGAACTAAATCTCACGGTCAGGGGGAGACCCCACATCTGAGAGCCTGGGCGTGAGAGCCACAGCTCCGGCTCCCGTCCCGACAGAAGGAGGCCGCGGAGTGATGCCCCTCAGCCGGTGGGTGAGCGGGGGGCCGGGGGGGTGGGGAGAGGGGCACAGGTCCGGGGAGCAGCGCCTCACACAGCCACAGTATCACAGTGACTGAAAAACCAAAGATCTGCTTCTTGGGATGTGCCTGGCAACGCCACCTTGGGACGGACCCTAGGCTGTGTCACTCTGCCACGGGCGGGGGGGGCCTCACCGGGAAGCGCGCGGATGTCATTCAGGAAGTGCTTCCTTTTCGGCTGCATCACGACACTGTCCGTGTTTTCTGCAACGTGACACCCCACGGATGAGACAGGACGCGGTGAAGCGGTGAAGCACCCGTCCCGCCGTCCCGCCGCCCCGCCCCCGCCCCCGGCACCCGCAAGTCAGCCCCGAGCTCACCTTTGCCCTTGTGGGGCTTTGGATTCCGGTAAACAAACCGGTCCAAGAATCTCATCAGTGTGAAGTCCTGCAGTGGGTCCCCCGAATACTGAATAGAATCTCCCTGCCGGGGAGGAGGTAGGGAAAGGGGCTAAGAATTCAAAGCCCCCGAAGAGAGGCAGACACAAGCACGCAGAGCACCGCGTCGAAGGCAGCTCGGAGGGCAAACGGCGCTTCGGCCGTTCAGCTCATCGCAGCCTCTGACAGCTGGGACAACCAGGCACACGCAGCCGACGGCACACTCGACCCTGGACACGCGAAGACGGTGGCCAGCAACCGGCAGGCAGGAGGCGGGAAAGGGAGGCCCCGACCCCTGCGCCCACCCATCCGGGGTGCCGAAGTACGACACCCCTTCCTTCCAGGGCAGGAGAGCGCCCGACCGGCGCGCTTCTCTCCTCTCGTTTGCTGTCGCCCGAGTCTCAGACTTACCTCGAGGATAGTCTTTGCGAAAAGGGCCACGGAGGGATGAAAATGCTCCGCTAGCTGGAAGACAGGAAGGAGGGAAGGAAGGAGGGAAGGAGGAGGTGGAGACGGAATCTGGCGCGCTCCGGATTATCAAACCCAAACTGACGACGAGGCTGGCCGGCGGGGGGAGAGCCCACCCGGGGGTGACGCTGCTTCGCCCGCCTCCCTCCACTCAGGCCAGGGCTTCTCTCTCTGGCACGGCGTCGCCCGGCAGGGTCACCCCAGAAAAGCTCCACTTCACACACAGGAGACCGATTCCCGTCGACGTCCAAACACACGCACGAGCACCAGGGGCCTCCCGTCCCGTGGGTGCTGAGGGAGCCGCGGGCCCAAGGAGCCCAACGGCCAGGCGGGCTCTGGGGCCGCGTGGACGGTCTTTCCTGAACACGTTCTCTGCTCCCTGCTGGGAAGCCGCGAAGCTGAGGCGCTCGGCGGCTCTGACCACGCTGCCACAGAAACCACCGTCAGCCCGGCCGCAGCCGTAAGCGAAAGGCCGCTGGGAGGGGCCGGCGGGGCCAGAGCTTCCCCACTTCCCCCTCGGTTCACCAGAACAACAAATACTCGGGCTCTTCGGCTTGCAGCTGACTTCAGTCATTAGAAACGGCCCTCGGACCCGAGACCCACCTGCTGGCCCCTCTCGCTGGCAAGAGCAGGAGACGAGTTTTCAATAACTGTGCGTGCATGAGCTCCTCTGGGATTCAGGGGACCCCCACCACAATAAGGGACTCTGCATCGCGGGGGAATCTCCAGGGCTTCAGGGTCAGGAGGATAGCGGGGCCCTTCCCCTGTATTTGTTCTGTGAGTGCCTTTCTTTTCCTTTTGTTTTTTTTGCTTTTTTGGGTCACACCCAGCGATGCTCAGGGGTTCCTCCTGGCTCTGCACTCAGGAGTGACTCCTGGCGGTGCTTGGAGGACCCTAGGGGATGCTGGGAATCAAACCGGGTCGAAGGCGTGCAAGGCAAACGCCCTCCCTGCTGTCGCTCCAGCCCTGGACACTGTTTCTCCCCTGTATCTGGTTGGGCACCAAGCCCAGGGGCCTCTGCCTGGAAGGCGCAAGCTCGGCCACCGGGCCCGCTGGCTCCTTGGCTTGGTTCTCATTTTCATCTGTGAGCCCCGGGGAGCTGCTGGCCTGAAGACTGGGGGTGCAGTGGGGGGGGGGGAGCCTCGGTTTTCCGCCCCGGCACTATAAAGGAAGGCATATATATAAGACGTCCTATCACGGTAAGACTCTTCGGGTATGATCCCTGGTGAATGAAACAAGACTACCCATTTTAACATCTCCAACAGAAAAATGGAACTTGGGGCAGAGAGATGGCAGAGTGGATCAGGCCTTGCCTTGCCAGTGGCCGACTTGGTTCCAAGCCCTGGCACTGCTGATGGTCCCGGGTGCCAGGAGGAAGCCGCGCTGGGAGCAGCCCAAAGCACAAGAAAACCCTGCCGTCTGTCCCAACCAGGGCGAACCTGGAGGGTCTCGCTAAATGGGGGATAAAGCCAGTGGCGGAGGGGCGGGTGACCTGCGCACACCGTGGCGGGTGGCACTGGCAGGGGTGAAGCGGCAGAACAGACACTAACAGCGAGGACCTTGGCGACGAGAAGGAAAAGGGCGTCCTACCTTTTTGAGTTCCCAGAGACTCGTATTCTCAGCGCCACAGAACAAAGGGTTTCTACTAAATGGATCGTATTTGTTCAGCTGTTTCCCACCTGAGAGAGAAAAAAAAATTCATTCGTAAACACTGCGTTCCCAAATAGTCACTGCTCCCGCTCGCCCCGAGTCTGAGAGCAGAAAAGTTTACTGGAAAGTAGGAGAGAAAAGAAGGGCCTGGAGCGATAGCACAGCAGGTACGGTGTTTGCCTTGCATGCAGCTGACCAGGGTTCGACGTCTGGCATCCCATATGGTCCCCCAAGCACCGCCAGGAGTAATTCCTGAGTACAGAGCAGAGCTGGAGGAACCCCAGAGCACCACTGGGTGTGACCCAAAAAGAAAAAAAGAAAAGAAAAGCTACACCCCGTGTGGGGAGATACTCAGCAAAGGGCCCAGTTCGCCGGCAGTCACCGCTACCAACGCGGTTATCCGGCTGGGACAGGAAAATCCAACCTCTTCCAGGACTCCCAGACCCAAAGCTCTGCCTGCTCGAAGTCAGCTAACATGCTGCGGCCGCCGGCTCAGAAAACTCAACAAACAGTGCCCTCTGTGGGTCAAGGAGATGAAGGTGACAGTGACTGGACGTAAGCCTGGAGACTTTCGGGCCCTCCACACAACCACCTCCTAGTTACGCCCCAAAGGAACTGTCTCCGGGATTGGGGCAACAGCACAGCGGGAAGGGCGTTTGCCTTGCACGCGGCCGACCTGGGTTCGATTCCCAGCATTCCATATGGTCCCCCAAGCACCGCCAGGGGTGATTCCTGAGTGCAGAGCCAGGAGCAACCCCTGAGCATCGGCTGGATGTGACCCTCCCCCCCAAAAAAGAAAAAAACAAAACAAAACAAAGTAACTGTCTCCTGGACAAGCTTTCAAAGGTGCCAATGACTCTAGGTGCAACAGTGCTCAGCGCCCCCGGAACGGCTTAGCTCAGAGCACATTGTGTGGTTCCTTCCCAAGAGCCCTCTCAGCTTAGCCTCAGACACGGGTGGGCTCTTCCAGAAACTTCTCCGGAGCCACCTTCCTTCTCTTCTGTATTCCACTGGCACAGGGTGGTCTGGGGAGATCACCTGATCACGACCCTCCTGGCCGGTGTAAACGGGCCCCATGCCGTCGCCTCCGCTGAGAGGGAGGGTCCGGCTACCCCTTCGGACTTCTCTGGGGCCCATATTCTCTCACTAGACTGAATTCCCCGTGCTGAGGTTATAGAAGCCAAGTTCCGAGCTCATGGGAAAGTTTTTGACCCTAAAAATTTCTGTAGGAAGATCTAGAGACGGTGCTCCAATGTGCCACGGTGCCAGGACACCGGCCTTCTCTCTCCGCGCCTGCCCCTCCCTGACTTGGTATCTGCTGGGAGGAGCCTTGCCAGGTTCACGGAAAGGCAGACGATGACAAGTAGTTCAAGGTCAGAAACTTTCTACTTCTTTTCTTTTCCTTTTTTAATGGACTTGGGACAATGCTCAGGGCTCACCCCCGAGTCTGCACTCATGGATCACTCCTGGCGGGATCCTGGGGGGACTGTGCGGGGATCAAACCTGGGCCAGGTGTGTGCCAGGCCAGCCCTAACCCCCGTCTTCTCTCTCCATCCCGTAAACCTACATTTACGGCCAAAGCAAGTAAAACTTATTGTGCATTGAACTGTCTAGTTTTCTCACGAGTCTTCCTAGTCCAACAGGCATCTATCTGCTTTCACTTCTACAAGTTACAATCACAGGGCTGGAGCGATAGCAGAGCCGGTAGGGCGTTTGCCTTGCACACGGCCCACCCGGGTTTGACCCCCGGCATATGGCCCATATGGCCCCCTGAGCAGCGCCAGGAGTGATTCCTGAGTGCAGAGCCAAAGGTAACCCCTGTGCATCGCGGGTATGACCCAAAAAGAAAAAAGTTTCAGTTACATGAAGTTGCTTACCAAAGCCAGACAGTAAGGGGTTAAGGTGCTTGCCTTGCAGGTAGTTAACCCGTTTTACCCCCAGGACCATGCGATGCCTGAGCGCAGAGCCAGGAATAAGCCTTGAGCACTGCTGGGTGTGGCCCCAAAGCAAACAGAATGTTGCCATACATATTTCTATTAAGATCTAAGGGGAAATCAAGTCTCCGACTAAAACACGCTCAAGAACCACCGAGAGGTAATAGAATGGTGGGCACTTGCCCTGAACGTGGCCGGCCTGGGTTCGATCCCTGGCACCGCACTGACAGGAGTGATCCCGAGTGCAGAGCCAGGAGTAACCCTGAGCGTTTCGAGGCGCGTGACCCCCCAAACAAAAACAAACAGGAAAGCTGAAAACCTCACCCTTCAGGTTATCGAAGTGCACCCAAGACGCGGATTCTGACGCGTTGGCTTTGACCTGTTCTTCAGACGAAGCTTCTTCCGGTTCAACTGTCTTCTCGGTCTCTGCTTCCTTCTCTGCATCGGCGAACTGTTCCGTGTCTTCTTCCTCTCTGACGTCAACAAACTTTTCTTCGTCGTCAGACTCCTGAAGAATGGTTTAACATCGGAATCAACGAACTGGAAATCCTTATTCATTCACGCCACATCTCGCACGCAATTGCTGCGGACTATGGGGAGGGAGGGTGCGACCATCATAGGAAACTTCTGAAAACAAATGGTGCCAATATAATTGGGAAAAAAAAAGAAAAAACCACACCCAAACTGGGGTGTAGCAATTATGCGGTGCAACACAATATGACATTTGTATTTAACAATACAGTACGTCATTCTGAAGATTTCCTTACTGCAAATCACGAATATTCTATCAGCAGAAGTTAGAACAAGAGTGGACTTCTAAATACTCTGGATTCTGACTTCTAAATACAACAGTGTCTTGAGCCGAGAGTCCCAGGATTCTGGGACCTTAATCCGACACGTTTCTGCTGTGGTTGCTGGTGACAACGCAACTGCCCTCCCCAAGGAAGACCAGCAGCCTCATTCCCCCAACTGCGGGGGGGGGGGGGGGCAGCGGTCACGGGAGCACAGGGGGCCACGCGGAACTGCCCGCCCGGGGGGAAATCCACGACGCCCGCTCCAGAACAGGCTCGGCTGGACAGAGAAGTCAGTGACCGCCATCATCACCAAGGAGAAAGCCCCCGAGTTCCCGGCCCCTTGGACCAGGGGAGCCGCCGGGTAGTACCGGGTGATCGTCCAGCTGGCTCCGCAGGGCTGGCTTGGCCTTGAGGATCTCGGAGACGAGGTAGAGGGCCCCGCAGATGAAAGGGGGCGTCTGCCCGCAGGTGACCTGCAGCAGCCGCTTCACGAAGGCCTTCACCCTGCGCAGCGCCACGTCGGCCTTCAGCGACTTGTACAGCAGGTTGAGGAACATGGCCTGCTTGGAGCACGTCCTCAGCCCGGGGTCCAGCATCTTCCTGGAAGACAGGGCAGCTGCGGGCCTCGCCTCGGGAGGTGCCCCCGCCCCCGCCCGCCCGGCCCCAGAAACCGTCTCCAGAGAGGGCGTGGAGGTCAGCGGCCAGGGGCCGGGAAGCAAGGCTAGCGCCGAGCACCTGCTTCAGTGCAGGGCGGGTCCCCACACGGACGGCACTGACTCCCACAGGTGGGCCCCCCAGCAGACGGTCAGGGGCCGGTCCCCGATGCTGGACGGCACTGACCACTGCAGGTGGTCCCCCTCCCGCAGCAGATGGTCAGGGGCAGGTCCCCGATATGGACGGCACTGACCACTGTCGGGTGGGCCCTCGAGCAGAGGGTGCTGCTAGCAGGCCCAGCCAGCCCCCCCACCCCTGGACCCCTCTGCTGTGAGGCTCCTCTTCTTCCAACTTCTACACCTTAGACCGGGGCTTCCACAGCGGGGGCTACTGCCTTCCCCCGGGGCGGTGGGGGCTCTGGCACAGTCCGGGGCACTAACGGTCCAGGTGCCCGGGGAGGCGCTTTCTGTGTGTTCACTCTAGGACAGTGGATTCCCGGGGGATGCTGCTGAGTAGCTTCTGTCCTAGAGGGGACCCGAGGTCGGCACATTTGGGGGTCTCGGCCCAGACCAGGAGCCTTGGGCGCAGCCCCCTGGGACGCCAGCCTGGGCCGACAGCACGAACGCCACGGCACCCACCGTGCCTGGCAAGAACCTCCACCTCGTCCTACCCCGCAGCCCAGACGCGAACTGCGCCCCGTCCTATTTGCTCAGCACTAGAGGTCCCCCCCCCCCCCTCTGGTCTCCAGTCCCAGGACCGCTGGAAGAACCCAACCCGCAGAGCCCCAGAACCCAACCCCCCTTCAGAGCAGGCCCCGCCCCGCACTCGCTCCGCACCCCCAGAACCTGCTGCCCACACCACCGAGCCGCTCAGCCTTGGACGCTGTTTCCTCACCTCAAGCCTCCGGTACTGCCCCCCTCAACCCCGCGGCGCGGCCAGAATCCCAGCCTGCGCCAACAGCGCCGAGGCAGAGACAGGAACAGGCTCTCCCGGAGAGCACCTACCAGGAGCACTCAGGGTTGAGCCATGCCCTCTCCCGGGGCACCTGTCCGGGAGCACCAAGGGTAGATCTGTTCCCCCAGGGAACACCTGCTCAGGAGCACTGAAGGCAGAGCCACGCCCTCTCCCAGGGAGCGCCTGCCAGGAGCACCAAGGACAGACACGCTCCCCCAGGGAGCACCTGCCCGGAGGTCTGTGCCTGCTGTGGGAAGCAGGCCCCTGCATCCTCACGCCCACGCACGCCGGCACTCAGGGACCGCCTGAAAGCGCCAGCCCCGGGGATCCGCGGGAAGCGCCTGAGAGCCAGGAGAAGCTGGAGGAGCGTTTCCTGACCCACCCTGGATGTTTTCTAAGATTCAGTTCTTGGAACTCCAAAGTTCTCCTCCCCTAAATTAAAAAGCCACGACCCCCAAATCGCTCCATTTCTGCCTTGAAGTGTTTCCTTCTATCTTTAAAAAAAACCTTAAGTGCTCATTCCTTCCGGAACCGTGACCTCGTCATCGTCAAAACTGGGGAGACAAGCTGAACACACGTCTCTACTGAAGACGGGGCTGGCCACGGGCACGCAGGCCACACAGAAACACGCAAATCACAATGACAGAGAGGCAGCCCCGGGGCCGGGCCGCGGGGGCCAGGCGGCCAGTGCAGGCAGGAGCCTCACGCCCACTGGGGGAGCGGAGCAGGCAACGGCGGGGACACGTCTAAGACGATGACACGCAGGCCTGCCAATGGCCCCGCTCCTGGGCAGGGTCCCAAGACAGAAACCCACGGACACAGGCACGCCTGTTAGGGTGGCTGCCCACATCGCCACGTCTGGAATCGGCCCACACGCCCGAGCCGAGGGGACACAGGCGTGGTCCGAGGCTTCGAAAGCCCCCCACGCCCACAGGAGTCGAGGAGACACAGGCGTGGCCTGGACCGACCCAGAGCACTACGCGGCTCTCAGAAAAGGTTGGAGTTCCGCGTTCCTGTCTTTGGCTACAAGACCGGACCTGGAGGGGCTGGTGTGAAGCCAACGGCCCTGAAGGAGCCAGCACGACCAGGCGTCACTCTCTCGCTATCTAAGAAAACTGCGAGGGGCGGAGACACGGAAACAAGCCCAGCTCAGGTGGGCAGGTGGGCGTGGGGCTCTGACAGGGCGGCTCGGCTGGGGGCGGCATGTCTTTATGGGATCTCAACTGTGCACAAATGCTGTCCCTGGTTTTTTTTCTTCCTTTTTTTTTTGGGGGGGGTGGTGCTATGCCACAGTGCTCAGGGCTTGCTCCTGGGTCTGTGCTCAGGGCAGCATGTGTGCGGGTGGGGGCCTGAACCAGGACTAGCCAAGGCCAAGTACAAGGTAAATGGCGTCACCTCTGGTCCAGCCCTCCTGCCCCGCTCACAGGGTCTTAATGAAGTCTCGATCTAAGTGGACAAAGCTGACGGCTTGGATTTAAATCCAGGCAGCACGGCTGACATCCAGGATCACGTGATAACGTACGACACTCAAGCTGTCCCGGTCGTACAATCGCACGAACGAGGGCTGGACAGAGGGCACAGGGCTGAAGGCGGCAGATCCTGGCCTGATCCCCGGCACCAGGTACGGTCCCCCTGGCAATGCCGGGAGTGAGCAGGGCACAGCCAGGAGTCAGCCCCGGCTGAGCCCCACCAGGCGGGGGTCACAAAAGAAAATGAAAACGAACGGGAAGGAAACAGCTCCCTGGCCTGCCCGAGCAGGTCCAGGTCCCTCCCGGCCTCCCATCCTCCCGCCTGCCCCCGCCGGGGCAGTCAGGGCACTCCCACCCCGTGCTGTGGGCCTCTGGAGGAGTCCCAGCCACAGCGGCCACCCGCGAGGGTCGAGGTGCAGGACCCCGCAGCACGCGCAGCCTCGGTGAACTCGGGATGACGGGGCGGGGAGGGGTCCGGACACTTGGGTCGGGGCGCGAGGGGGGCTCTCCCTGCGTCCGAACCGCTTCTCCAGGGAACAGGGCCTCAAGGCCCCGGCGCCAGGCTTACCGGTAGAGCGCCGAGTAGTAGCGGTCCGAGACGGTCTGCTGGGCGTTCATGACCTGGAAGAGCAGCATGAGGGCCTGCAGGCCGGTGCCGAAGGGGACGGAGTGCAGCACGCCGAAGAGCGTGTCCACCTGCTCGCGCACCTTGGCGTCGCCCGCGGGGGCGTAGGGGTAGGCGCGGTTCACGCCCGTCAGCAGGGCGCCCAGCATCTTGGACGCCACCTCCTGCTTCCGGACGCAGGCGCGGAAGAAGCAGAAGTAGAGGGCGATGAGGTGGCCGGCCAGCTCGCCGTCCTCGGGGGCCAGGGCCAGCTGGTTCAGGAAGCAGACGGCGTGGTACTGCGCCTTGGGGCCGACGCGGGGCCGCAGGAGCAGCCGCTCCACCTCGCCGCACACCACGCCCTTCATGTTGGGGTGCTGCCGCAGCAGCGTCTCCAGCAGGTGGGAGGCCCGGGCGGCCACGCGGCTCAGGGGGTCGCCCAGCTTGTTCACCACCTGCGCCAGCAGCGCCTTCTCGCCCTCGGGCTGGTGGCACAGCAGCTCGTGGGCCGCGCGCAGGGCGCGGGTCCTGGTGGCCGGCAGCGGGTCGTGGCCCAGCGCCTCCAGGACCCGCAGGAACTCGGCCACCAGGAGCTTGAGCCGGTGCTCGAAGTGCCACAGCAGCAGCCGGCGGTCGCGCGAGTCGCGGTTGCCGCTGCAGAGCTGCTCCAGCCGGCCCAAGGGGCGCTGGCCGAAGGGCCGCAGCTTCCGGCCCGCGGGCAGCAGGTCGCTGAGCAGCAGCTCCTTGAAGGTGTCCAGCGCCGCCAGGCACTGCTGCTTGCTGCCCTTCTTCCTCACCAGGCCCAGCAGCGTCTCCACGAACTGCAGCGCGTGCACCGCGTCGTCCTGGACCAGCAGGATCATGGCGGCCATCCTGTCCCCCAGCGTCCCCGAGGACACGATGGCCTTCATCCAGGTGGAGGCGCCCTTCTGGCGGGCCGCCTGGGCCCGGAACAGGCCGAGCTCGTGCTCGTAGAGCCGCTGGGCCAGGGCGCCGTAGCCGGCCACCAGCTCCCGGGGCTGCGGCTCCGGGTCCCACTCGCCGCTGTAGCCCAGCTCGTGCCACTTGCCGCCCGGCCGGAGCAGCAGGGCCTGCCGCTCGCAGAACTCGAAGGGGTCCTGCGCCTTCTCTCGCCGGCCCCTCGCGCCCGCGGCGGCCTGGGCGGCGCTGGGCTCCGGCCCCGGCCGCTTCTTCGGTCCCGCCTTCCCGGCCGGCGTCGTCCTCTCGGCCTCGGCGGCGTCTTTCTGCTTCTTCTTCCTGGCCTTCTGCCCCTTTCTGTCCGCCGCTTCCGTCTCAGCAGGCTTGTCACCGCCGCCGCCGTCATCGTCGTCTTCGACGGCGCACGTCCTGGCGTACTTGCTCAGATTCAGACTCTGCACGAACGCCTCGAGCTCCCCTTGCTGAAGGTCGTCGATGGCGCCCTTCTTCCCTCCGTCCACCACCTCCTCGTTCTCATCCAAAGTGGCCAGCATGAGGAAATCTTGCTGCATACAGAGGGAGGGAGATGAGAATGAGCGACCGACTGACAGCTTCTAAAGCGAATTTGCTTTTATTTTTATTTATTTACTTTTTTGCTTTTTTGGGTCACACCCAGCAATGCACAGAGTTACTCCTGGTTCATACACTCAGGAATCACTCCTGGCGGTGCTCGGGGGACCACATAGGATGCCGGGAATCGAAACTGGGTCGGTCGTGTGCAAAGCAAACGCCCTCCCCGCTGTGCTATTGCTCCAGCCCCTCTAAGGCTAATTTGAAGCCTGGGTCCTAAAAACTGGAGCACCCGGAGGGCTCACACTGAGCTTTCAAGGACCTGCTGAGGACCCCTGCCCGCACCCAGGTCTACACCCTGACCTCGGAAGGAAAAGGCACAACACGTTAGGGTGCTCCTTTCAGCCAGGCATTCCTTTTCAAACCTGACTTACGACTCTGGGCCCTGCAAGGGAAGGTCAGGAAACACCCGTCATTTTCTCACCCACCAGGAAGATGCAAGAAACACCAAGTTAACGAGCCCGGGGCAAGCCACTCACATGGAAAGCTGGGCTTAATGGCTCACACAGCACATCGCACACGCCCAGAAAGGAGCCCAGCATGACGGGCAGACACATGGGGGATGAGAAGCGCACAGAGGGGGCCTTACTTAGCCCAGGCTGCGGCCCAGCCCGCCAAGGGAGACCGCCAGCTTCACGCCAGCCGGTGGCTCCCTTTCCTAGACTGTTTCGGCCTTGGGGTCGCACCCGGCTTGTGCTGGGGCTCACGCAGTGCTGAAACATGGTCCGGTCTTGGCCTCACCTGCCAGGACCCCTCCCTGGAACGGAAAGCTGCGTCATCTCCATCTTCAACCTGTCACCTGCGCTATCATGCCATGAAACTGGGCAGTGCCGGGAGGGGATCCACGGCCCCTCGGGAGGGCAGGTGGCTGCAGACACGCAGAAGAAGGCACTCCCGGAGCGAGACAGACTCGGGGCTCTTAGCTGAGGCGGCCCATTTAAATAAACCCAAGACGGGGGCTGCGGTGATAGCACAGCGGGTAGGGCGTTTGCCTTGCACCTGGCCGACCTGGGTTCGATTCCCGGCGTCCCACAGGGTCCTCTGAGCACTGCCGGGGGTAATTCCTGAGTGGGAGCCAGGAGTAATCCCTGAGCATTGCTGGGTGTGACCCCAAAAGCAAAATGAATAAATAAGTAAATAAACCCAAGACGGGGAGCCAGCGTGACAGCGCAGCGGGCGAAGGGCTGGCCTTGCACGCGCGGGCTGACCCGGGTGTCGGTGCAAAGGGCCTTTCCCCATCTACCTGCCTACATCACCCTGAGCCCGCCGGGAATGACACCTGGGTGCAGAAGCAGGGGGAACCCCGAGCACCGCTGGGTGCGGGCGCAGAAGCACACCGCCCCCCGGCACGGCACGCACGGCACGGCACGGCGACCCCCGTCCGGGCAGGGGGCGCAAACCGCCCCGCGCCCTCCTCCCCCTCCCCGCAGCAGGTCCGCGGGCCGGTGCGGCTGCCGGTGGCCCCGCCCGCTGGTCCTCGGAGGTCTCTGCGCCCCCTCCCCACCCCGCGCAAGTCAGACCCTTTCCGGGGTCTCCGGTCCCGCGTGCACACGTGCACAGGCCCGCGTGCACACGTGCACAGGCGCACGTGCACACACACACCCCCACACGTGCGCACACGCACAGGCACACGCGGAAGGCCCGGGGCGGGCCCGTCCGCCGCGGGGACCCCGGGCGCCGCGCCCCGCTCGCACCTTGGTGCCGCCGAGCCGCAGCACCTCCTCCAGGGAGAAGCCATCCTCGGTCTCGGCCGGCTCGTCCGCGTCCGAGTCCCCCGCCGGCCCCTCGGGCCGCCGGGGCGGTGGCGGCGCGCGCGTGGCCGCGGCCGTCCTGGAGGCCGCCATGGCGAGCGGAGCGCTGCGCCTGCGCCGTGGCTGCCTTCCGCCCGCGGGAGGGGTGGGACTTCCGGATTCCGGCCCCGCCCCGGAAGCGCGGTCGCCCCGACTCCGCGGCCGCTTCCTTCCGCCCGCGGGGCGGCACCTCCGGCGCCCGGCCCCGCCCCGGAAGCGCGCGTGCCCCGACTCCCGCCGCCGCCGCCGCCGCCGCTGCCAGCATGCGGGCGCTCGCGCGGGCCGGCGCGGCCGTGCTGGGCGGGCGGCCGTGGCGGGGCGCGGGGGGCGGCGCGGTGGGGCCGGGGGGCGGCCCGGCGCGGGGCCTCAGCTCCCACGGCCCCGCGGGGACGCGCCTGCTGCGGCACCTGGCCTACAAGATCAAGGCCAGCGGCCCGCTCAGCGTGGCCGAGTACATGCGGGAGGTGCTGACCAACCCCGCGCAGGTGCGCGCTGCCTGCCCCGGCCCCAGGGACCCCCGCCCGGCCCCAGGTCCCCCAAGCCCCGCGGGTGGGTGCCCCCAGCCAGACTCGCCCGGTGCCCGAGCGCTGATCGCAGCCCGGGGGCCCCCTCCACCCCCCCACCGGAATTTTATTTTGATTTTTGGCCTTTTGAGCTACACCCGGCGATGCTCAGGGTCTGCACCTGCTCTGCACTCAGGACTCACTCCTGGCGGTGCTCCGGGGGGCCCACGGGGACGCGGGGGATCGAACCCGGGTCAGCCGTGCCAGCGAACGCCCTACCCGCTGTGCTGTCGCCCCCCCCACCGAAACTTTAATAAAAGAAAATTTTTTTGAAGGTTGTCTTTAAGAACGTTTTAAAAAAATCACTCTATTTCCTCCCATTTTTTTTATTCCCTTAGGGGTATTACATGCACCGGGATGTGCTCGGAGAAAAAGGAGATTTCGTGACTTCCCCTGAGATCAGCCAGATCTTCGGGGAGGTATGGTGTTGGTGTGTGCAGGGCCGGGGCTGTGCTGCTCTGTCGTGGGGCAGCTCCGGGGTTGGAGCCCAGAGCCCGGCATCCGTCACGCTCTGTGTCCCGGGAGAAGAGCGCAGGGAAGCGCCCGACAGCAGCAGGGGAGACCCTGTGTGTGCTCTGGCCAAGGCCAGAGAGGGCCAGAGAGGGCGGGGAGAGGAAGGCCAGCCCCGTGGCAGCCTCCCTTGGGGAAATAGTCTGCAGAAATTCTAGTTTGTTTGCTTTCCCGAGGAGACTTTTTTTTTTTTAATCTGTTTGGAAATAGGACCCATAAAGGAGCCTAGATGCAGTTATTAAAAAAGCTCTTCGGGCTGGGCCTGTATCCCGGTGAGAGAGCGCAGGCCTCGGAGCACGATACCCCGGGTTTGATCCTTGGGGCCTCGGCACTCTCGGCATGGCCCCTTCCACAAGCAGAAGGGTTTGAGGCATTGAAGCCTCGGTATGACTGCGTGGAAGGAGCCCCCACGGGACAACCAGTTGCCCACTGCCCGGCCCACCCAGCTGTCCCTCCCTCGCCACTCTCCTGTCTGTCATGTATACTTTCGAGTGGCAGCTACCTTTGGATCATCAGCCCGGTCCCCGAGCTCCCTGGGTGGTGTGTGTCGTGACTGGCCGGGAAGCCCTGGGGGTGGCAGTCCCCCGCGGTTTGCTGAGGCCATGGCCACGCGTCCTCTTCTGCCGTGCCATGCTCAATCCCCTGACCCTGGCCCGCCTCTCCTCCCCGCAGCTGCTGGGGATATGGTTCGTGAGCGAGTGGATGGCTGCGGGCAAGCGTCCTGCCCTCCAGCTGGTGGAGCTGGGCCCCGGCCGGGGCACGCTGACCGGAGATATCCTGAGGGTAGGTACGGGGACAGCCCGCGCCTGGCGGAGACACTTCCCTTGTTCACTGGTTTCCAAATGTCGCCGACGCCCTGGCCCTGCAGTCCTGCCTCTCTGGGGTTGTTCAGCCTAAGTGTCAGGGCAGGAAGATGTCCCGGTGTGAGGACTAAGGGGAGGGGGACTTTGAAGGTAACTCCCAGGGAGCGTTTGACTATGGGGAGGAGAGAGTTCCAGGAATCGGAACCCGCGCCATGCCCATGATTACATGCAGGAGCCCCGGGTCGACCGCCAGCACCTCAGGGTCCCTGCCTGCTGCCGGAAGTGGCCAAGAAGTGAAAAGATGGACCGTGTCCCCTAATGGCGGTTGTTTTCCACACATACGGGGCTGTGAGGGGGTCGTTTGTGTGAGGACCAGCCCTGACCAAGGCAGACCGTCGGGCGCTTGCGGTTCTGAACCTAGAAACTCCCGGCCGTGTCGTCCACTCATGCTTTGCTCTCCCGCGGTGTTAGGTGTTCGGTCAGCTTGGGTCAGTGCTGCAGAACTGTGACATTTCCATCCACCTGGTGGAAGTGAGCCAGAAGCTCAGCGAGATTCAGGCGTCGACGCTGACGGACGAGGCGGTCCCACTCGAGCAAGCGGCCGACGCCCCCGTGTACATGAAGGGCGTCACAAAGTCTGGCCTCCCCGTGTCCTGGTACCGAGACCTGCGAGACGTCCCACAAGGTGACGGCCTTTCTGGGGTCGGGGTCCTGGGGAGCATTGCTCCGTGCACTGGTGACAGTGGGCCCACATTAAAGAGCGGGTGGACTTGGGGGTCCAGTGAAGACTCTGGAGAAGAGCATGGGAGAGACATTGTCTCATACCAAGGCACGGTGAGTCTCTCGAGAACCGAGGCAGGAGATGGGATTTGCCTGCCCAGAGGAAGCGGGGGTGCCGGGCAGAGGCCGCTTGGCCAGGCCCTCAAGGGAGCTGGCCCTGCCCTCGTTGGTCTGATCGGGTCTGGGTCTCCGAGCGTGCTGTGAAATGAGAATTCCACCCTTTCCCCCACTCACACACACCCAGGTCCTTGGCCTGAAAAGACAACTTAGGGCCTGTTTAGTGAAATGCAGAGAGCGCAGTTTTAAACAACTCTGGCAAGCCTGAGGTTCGGGTTAAAGCTGCGAGGGTCACGGGCTGCAGACGCTTGCCGGGGTGGGTTCTCGGGTTTGTGACCGTGAGGATCCGCCCGGGCCTTGTTCAGAAGTGCCAGCGACTTGCCCTCCACATGCCGACCTGCTCCACTTTCCTTCCCCACAGGGCACAGCTTCTACCTCGCGCATGAGTTTTTCGACGTCCTTCCCGTGCATAAGTTTCAGGTACAGACTGGAAGGTCACCCCTGGGATCGAGAGGCGGGAATCACGGTTGTCGTCAGTCAGGGTGTGGGCAGTGCTGCTGACATGAGCGGCCCCGGGAATTTGGACGAGTAGGAATGCTCGAGACGCAGGAGATGACGCCTGGGGAGGGACGTGGGCGGCTCTGGGTTCCCGTGGGCTGCTCGGGCAGCGTTCTTGACCCGCCCGGGGTAGAGGCCTGTGCAGGGCTGGCTGGAGTGTGATGAAGACTTGAGCCATGAAGATGGGAGTTTCTTGGGGTCACTCTGGGGTGCTGCCAGGGCTCAGTCTGGATCTGGAGTGAGGTGGCCACAGGGCATTCTCCGTGATCCTCCGGGAGACATCTGCACTTGGTGCTTTCCAAACTTAAGCACCTTCCTTGGTGCAGACTTGACCTCCCCCGCCGCCTCTGTTACCCGAACATCACTTGTTGCGTCTGTTCATCCCCTAGAGTAGCAGCGGTAGAGTGGCATCCCGGCATGCAGATAGCATCCGTGGCCGGTGTTTGGCCGACCTTAGTTCTCTTCCTGTGGAGAAAACTAGTGGCTAGGGGGCTGGAGCAATAGCACGGTGGGTAGGGCATGTGCCTTGCATGCGGCCGACCTGAGTTCAATTCCCAGCATCCCATAGGGTCCCCTGAGCACCGCCAGGCGTCATTCCTGAGTGCAGAGCCAGGAGGAACCCCTGAGCTTTGCTGGGTGTGACCCAAAAAGAAACAAAAACAAAAACAAAAAATAGTGGTCAGTTTTGATATAGCTCACTTGGAGGACAAACCTGCCAACGCTTATCATGTTGTTTTGTGTTATGTTATTTTGTTTAGAAAACACCCCAAGGATGGCGGGAAGTCCTCGTGGACATTGACCCAGAAGTTTCGGATAAGCTGAGGTTTGTTTTGGCGCCTTCTCCCACCCCAGCGGAAGCCTTCATACAAGTAGGAATACGTTCTTTTCTCCTTCACTTCTGACCCCGATCCTTGGGGCCGTCTCCTGCGTGGCCACGTAGGGTTGCTCTCTGGGGAGTGAGGGCTGAGGGGACTGTCCTGAGCATTTACCTCGTCCCCCCTTGCCCAGCAAGGCCTGCCCATCACCGCAGGCCCCGGCCCCTGGAGGGGACACAGGGCTCTCCTGGGAGTTGGTGGTCAGCGCAGCAGCGTTAACTGAGAACATGGAGTGTCCTTGGGTCCAGACACACCTTTGGGAAGTCTGGTCTGCGCTCCGGGCTTCTGTCTCGGTGTGGGTGAGGGGGGTATTGGTGGGGCCTTCAGAAAGAGCCAGTGGTTCCTAGTCCCCATTCCTCTCTGCCCTCTTTGGACTGTACCTGGGAGCTTCTGTCACAAGTTACTATTTTCGGGGCTGGGGGGGGGGGGGTGACTTGCTGGTAAAATGTGTTTCTGGTTTCCTTTTGGTTTGGGGCCCACATCTGGCAGTGCTCATTTTTACTCCTGGCCCTGCACCCTGGGGTCACTTCTCTTGGGGCTCAGGAGACCCTGTGGGGTGCTGGGGGCTGACTCTGGGTCGGCTAGGTGCAGGACAAGTGCCCGCCCGGTGCTGTCCTCTCTGGCCCCTGGAGCGAGCATGGAAACTTCCTTTGCAAAGCCTAGAGCTAAATAGTACTTTGGGTTTTCCCCCATATGCCAGCTCCTGTAGGGAGTGGGGAGTGAGTTCATAAGCCCCCTTGCTGTGGCCCGTCTCCCTGTGTGCAGGTGGGGTCTGGAGCCTGGCCGTGGCAGCTGACCGCAGGCCTTTGGAGTCACTCGAGGCCCCAGGCTGGCTGCTGACTTAGGAGGGACGGGCCCGGGCGGGCAGCACTTGGCTCTGAGCTCTGAAAGGGCCGTTCCTGGCCATTAGCGAGACATCTCAGCGCAGGGGAGGCCACGCCTCACTTTCCAGAGGCCGTCAGGAGGGAGCGAGAGCTGACGCCTGGGTCTCTAACAGAGCCGCGTTTCCAGCACCCTCGGGTGCTGCTGCCTCCTGGCCTTTCACTGCCCAGCTCCCAGCAGTCACGGACACGCTGGGACCCGGGCCCGCGCGCCTGCTCTGGAGGTCCGGGCCGTCATGGTGGGCTCTGGGACCCCACAGCAGGCGGCCGCGGCGTGCGGCAGAGGGTCTGCCTGGTGACTACTCCCGTGCTGGTGCTTCGAAGCATCGTGGCCTGTGCCTGAGAAGGGGCGCTGTGGCTGGCCTTCTGCGGGCCAGGTGCCGCTTTGGGGGGCGAAAGGGGAGCGTCCCTGCAGACTTCCAAGTGCCGTGTGGTCTGTTCGGGAACGTGCCCTGCACGCCAGCTGGCGGATACCGCACTGCGCGAGCAGAACTAGGAGCTCGCGCATGTGGCACAAGGCCGGGAAGCCGGTTCCGTGTGACGGACGCGCTTCTCCCCACTGTCCCATCCCAGCGCGACGAGGCCCGGGACCACGTGGAGGTGTGCCCCGAGGCGGGGGTGATCATTCAGGAGCTGGCCCAGCGCATTGACCGGGACGGAGGCGGGGCCCTGATCGCGGATTACGGCCACGATGGGACGAAGACCGACACCTTCCGGGTACGCTCCCGGGGCGGGGAGGGACCCACGGGGCTTTCTGGGGGCCTGGCAGTGTGGCCTCCTGTCCCCGGTCCCTGTCCCAGCTCCCCTGAGCGGAGTCTGAACCAACTTGTGCTCCCTGAGGAGCGGCTCCCACCAGCCTCTGGAGAAAGCACCGGAAACGGCGCCAGATGTGCCGCCAGCGACGCCCACCTGAGGGTGGCCTGACGAACACAAAGCCCTGGCGACTCACGTTCCTTTTTTTTTTTTTTTTTGCTTTTTTGGGTCACACCTGGCAATGCACAGGGGTTACTCCTGGCTTTGTTCTCAGGAATTACCCCTGGCAGTGCTCAGGGGACCATAGGGATGCTGGGAATCGAACCTGGGTCGGCCGCGTGCCAGGCAAACGCCCTGGTGCTATCGCTCCAGCCCCTCACGTTTCCCTTTTCACTGAAGAATGATGTTGCCACTTTACACAGCTGACCTCCATCCCTGATCACCCAGGCCTTTTCTGTCATTTTTTCGACATACTTTTCTTCTCCTCAGAAGTGTCTCTTTATTCTTCACTGTCACTGTCTTCCCGTTGTTCATCAGTTTGCTCTAGCGGGCCCAGTAACGTCTCCATCGTGAGACTCATTGTTACTGTGTTTGGCATGTTGCATACATCACGGGGAGCTTGCCAGGCTCTGCCGTGCGGGTGAAATACTCGCGGTAGCTTGCTGGGCTCTCCGAGAGGGGCGGAGGAATCGGACTCGGGTCGGTTATTCTTCACAGACCTTTCTTTTTTTGTTTCCTGGGCCACCCCTGGTGGTGCTCAGAGATCACTCTGGCTGCTCGGGTCACCCCCTGCAGTGCTTGGGAAACGTACGGGGTGCCGGGGATCCAGTCTGAGTTGGTCTCATGCAAGGCAAGCGCCCGCCCCCTAAACCCCTTTGTTACAGTATTTGAACAGAAATGCTTCACGGGGTTGGAGTGATAGCACACTCCAGGGCGTCTGGGTAGGGCGTTTGCTTTGCGTGCAGCTGACCCGGGTTCAATTCCCAGCATCCCATAAGGTCCCCGAGCACCGCTGGGTGTAATTCCTGAGTGCATGAGCCAGAAGTGACTGACCCCTGTGCATCGCCGGGTGTGATCCAAAAGCAAAAAGAAAAAAAATGAAAGAAAAGAACCGCTTCACTTCGGTGCTGTTTTCCCCGGTCCATCAGTCTCAGTTTCTAACTGTGTCTAAGGAAAGCAGGGATGTTTGTTTAAAATGCTGATTCCAGGGCTCAGGCCCCTGGGGCGCGGAGGAGAGCACACTCTGGCCACGGCCCAGTTGCTGAGCCCCGACCCCGTCTGGGGAGCGGGCAGGGGTGGGACGGACCGGGAGCCGCTGCTGGGGGCGTCTCCAGGTCCCCTTCTTCCTGCTGGGGTCCCACAGCACCTTGCTCCAGAGTGTTCGCACATGCCTGGTTCCGCTGACGTTCTCCGGAAACGCACTGGGACGACAGCACTGAACAAGCACTGACAACCGCAGCAGGACGGAGACTCATTGAAATGTTGTTCCAGGGCTTTCGTGACCACAAGCTTCATGACGTCCTGGTGGCCCCGGGCACCGCTGACCTGACGGCAGACGTGGACTTCAACTACCTGCGCAGGATGGCCCAGGGCAGGGTGGCGGTGCTCGGGCCACTGCAGCAGCAGGACTTCCTGAGGAACATGGGCATCGACGTGCGCCTGAAGGTGCGGCCCGGCCCTGGGCGTCCAGGGGGCAGCGGGGAGGGGTGAGCGGGTCCGGCCCCTGCGCAGGACAGGGGACAGCCTGCCACGACCCGGTGTCCCCACGGGTCCAGTGAGGGCCTCTTCCGGGTGTGTTTCTGTCTGCATTCAGGTCTGAATTTCACATCCCAGAGTTCAGACCTGCAGAGCCCAGCGTAGAGCTTTCGTGGGGGCTGTTGGCCGGGCGGGTGCGGGGTCATCCTCGGCCTGGCACCCGCCGAGGGTCTGCGCGGGCTCCTGGTCTCCGCTGCTCGCCGTGGGCACGGCTGCTCCCTCAGACCCTTCCCAGTTTCTTTTTTGACAACTTTACTGTTTATTTTTAATTTTAAAAATATCTGGCGGAGTTCATGCACAATTCAATTAGCCTAATCAGTGGCTGAATAAATAGCAGCACTGCTACATAAAAAATATAAAAATACATACATATTATATGACATACATTTTGGTAACAATTTAGTAAGCAACTTCCTACAAAAAAAGTTTCCTACCCACAGTATAAGGAAACTGAAAACCAATATCATAAGCAAATTTTTCAAACATCATACAAGATCACATTTTTTAAAAAATGTTTATTAGTGAAACACCCTGAGGTACAGTTGGAGACTTACAGATTTTTGTGCTCGGGTTTCGATTATACAATGATCAAATCCCCGTCCCTCCACACCTTCCTGGTTTCTGACGCTGTTTCCTCTGCAGGTCCTTCTGGAAAAGGCCGAAGAGCCGGCCGCGAAGCAGCAGCTGCTCCAGGGCTACCACATGCTCATGGACCCCCAGCAGATGGGACAGAGGTTCCACTTCTTCGCCTTGCTGCCCCTCCAGAGGCTGCAGGGCCCCGGGCAGCCGGCCAGTGCCCGCCGCCGGGCGCCGTCCGCAGGCTCCGTGGCAGGGTTCGGCGAACTTACCTGGCGGTGAGAGCAGGGTGGGCGGGCTCTGGCCCCCGAGTCTGCCTGAGGAACCGAAATAAAGGCAACAGTATTTGGGAGGGGGCAGGTAGTAGCTCTCGAATCATCGTCTCTCTTTGCGGCCAGCAGGATACCTGCTGTGTGGCGGCGCATTTAGCCTGAGGAGTCCCTTGGTGCAGAGGGTCTTCTCAATGCGATGAAGGTTATGAAACGGAGTGAAACGAGTTTCCTCTCATTATAAAGATATTTGCTGTGCATTTTTGCCTGTCTTTTAATTTGGGGGCAGGGGCTTGGGCCCTACCGGCAAAGATCAGTGGACGACATGGGGTGCTGGGGACTCAGACCTGCGTCACCACACATCACCTGCTGGACTACACCTCCCTGGCCCTTGGTTTTATTTCTACAAGGAATGTGACACCGGTTCAATAAAAAACCAAGCCAACCTATGTTGGAGCAATCCTGCGGGTCAGACACAGCTTTGCACACGGCCAACGTGGTCTGTGGGTTTGGTCCACACACCACAAATAATCCCCCAAATCCTACCCGGAGTGAGCCCTGCCTGAGCACCACCCGCTGTGTTCCAGAAAACAAACTGGCCATTTGCAGGTGACACCACAGAGATTTATCCAAATGGTATTATTTATTTATTTGCTTTTTGGGTCACACCCGGCGATGCACAGGGGTTCCTCCTGGCTCTGCACTCAGGAGTTACTCCTGGCGGTGCTCAGGGGACCATATGGGATGCTGGGAATCGAACCCGGGTCAGCCGCGTGCAAGGCAAACACCCTCCCCGCTGTGCTATTGCTCCAGCCCCAGCATTTTTATTTTTAATGTTTATCAAAGTCCATGATCGTTAGCTCGGGTGTTGAGTGTCCCAACATCAAACTCCCCCCCCCAACACCCTGGTTTCCCCTGCTCCCCAGCCCCTTACAGGCACTCTTTAGATTACTCCTTACAACGTGGACCTCGCTGGGGCTCTGAAGTTCTCGAGGACGTGCTGAGCCTTCTCTGTTCCTGTTTCTGCTCACCCCAAGAGTGCGAGGCGGATGCAGCAGCTCGGAGCTGGGCCGTGTGTATGCCGGGAAGGCGGTGGGTGGGGCGCTGCCTTCCTGCAGGAAGGGAGCTTGGCCTGGACACAGGGCCCACCTGGATGGCGCAGTCCTGGAGCTGGGCTGTTTACGCTGGCGGAAGTTGGGGCGAGGGGCTTCCGGCAGGGCAGGACTTAGTCCAACCCTGTCCGGAGAGGGCTCTGGAGATTGGGGCCTACCTGGGATGACTCAGCAGGAACGCACAAATTTTTTTTTTTTTAAAGTATGTTTTGACATAGAAACTGAAGGTTTGTAAGTGCAGGAGTTGAAAGTAGCTTCCAGTTGTGGCTGCATTCTGAACTGAGAATAGCTCTGTGAGCAGTGCTCGGCCTGGGAGAGCACAGTGGCGAAGGGCTTGCCGTGCACACTGCTAATCCTGGTTGGATCCCCGGCACCGCCAGGTTTAGCCCAAAACTGCTGCCCTAAAATTTTGTCAAGGCTTGCAGTGATGTTGGCCTGGCAGCAGAATGCCTGACTGGCTCCTGCAGGGAAATGAGAGCAAGTCCATAGACTGACACAGTGACATCCGGGCACCGGCTTGGTCGTTTCTGTTCTGTGAGGTTTTTTTTCTCTTTTTGGGTCAAACCCAGTGATTCATAGGGGTCACTCCTGGCACTGCACTCAGGAATCACTCCTGGCGGTGCTCGGGGGACCCTATGGGATGCTGGGAATGGAACCGGGGTCGGGCCGCGTGCAAGGCAAACGCCCTCCCGGCTGTGCAATCACTCCAGTCCTTGTTTTGTGAGTTTCTCATGAAAAGAAAACATCTCCAATGGCCCCCATTCAGGTTCCTCCTGGAAATGGGCCCCCAGGGTGGAAGCACTAAGCACAGGGGTCTGGGGGGGTCGGGCAGTCACCTCGAGGGGAATTCTCGCAGATTTCCAACAGTGTCAGGCATTTGTACCATGAGGTTGAGCAGCTGCTGCTTTTCAGGGCGGACTTCTCTCCTGCCTTCTCTCCGGGGGCTGCTTTCGCAGACACCGCCCAGCCCCGTCCCTCCCCTCCTGGCCACGCCCACCAACCCGGTCCTCCTAGCCACGCCCACCAGCCCAGCCCTCCCCTCCCGGCCACGCCCACCAAACCCATCCCTCCCCTCCCGGCCACGCCCCCAGCCCCCCCTCTCCTCCTGGCCACGCCCACCATCCCCGCCCCTCCTGGCCACACCCACCAAAACCGTCCCTCCCCTCCCGACCACGCCCCCCAGCCCCGTCCCTCCCCTCCCGGCCACGCCCACCAACCCGTCCTCCTAGCCACGCCCACCAGCCCAGCCCTCCCCTCCCGGCCACGCCCACCAAACCCATCCCTCCCCTCCCGGCCACGCCCCCAGCCCCCCCTCTCCTCCTGGCCACGCCCACCATCCCCGCCCCTCCTGGCCACACCCACCAAACCCGTCCCTCCCCTCCCGACCACGCCCCCCCAGCCCCGTCCCTCCCCTCCTGGCCACGCCCACCAGCCCCGTCCTTCCCGTCCTGGCCAACCACCCACTTTCACATTCACGCTCTTTCTCCAGAAACTTAGCTGGGAGAAATTTCAGAAGATGCAAGTGCCCTGGCTGACTCCTCCCAGTTATTTACGGTTTTCAGAATTAAGGAGGAAGAGCTAGGCAAAGCCTCGAAACCTGAAAGTTTGAAAATTTACTTTGTTGCTAGGGTTAGTGTCCAGACAGACAGCCGCAGCCCCTGATAAACTGGTAGCTAGAACCTTAGTTCTAAGCAATGAGACCTTCAGATAATTACCCCGAATTCCATATAAAATCGTAATAACGAGGTGGTTTTATTTTTATGCAGTTCAGAAATCAGTGTTCTTAAATAGAGTCTTACTTTCATTTACATTCTCTATATCCAAAATAGTTCTCTTACTAAGGCCTGGGAAAATAATACAACCGCATAGTATTTTCTTTGGATACCTCAACAAGAGATAGTTTTCGCATGGAAAACTACAGTAATATGGAAATACATTTTATTATCAAGTTTCTTTGAGGGTATTTACAAAAAGTGGGATGTAACAAAAAATATAAAAATGTACTAAACAGTGTCATTATAAACTATTTTGTACATTATAAAATGTCTCAAACAACTAGTTCTTATACAAACAACTTCAAGACAAAAAAGACAGATTATATAGGCCACCTGGCCCCAGAGCGATGGCCGAGTCCCAGCCCGAGGACAGCGCCTTGCCAGGCAGGAGGCCTTAGGAACTCTTGGGGGCTTTCAGCAAAAAAGAGTGCTGTGGGTTTCATGGCTGAGAGAAAGGCTGGTTCCACAAGTCGAGTGAACGACATCGTTCCAGTTAACCTCTGAACCAGACCCCCCCGGGGAGCTGGCCTCTTCGAAGCTGGCACGGCTCACCGACAACGGAACCGTCCTCACCGAGACCCAGGTTTGCTGGCTGCAAGCATCTCGCTCTTTTCGGAGATTAAAAACAAAGTAGAAAAAGGGTTTACAATGCTCACCGAGGAAGGAAGATACAGAAAACGCTCGCTTATTCTGTGTGTAAGTGATCGGTCTCAGACTTGTGAGGAGGAAACGTGGTTCCTAAGAGCTCCCAGACGCCTCTCAGGCCGCCCTGCCCAACCCAAGACGCGCCCTGGGCACTGCATGCGGCACTGGTCTGACGCCATGCAGCTCTGGTGGCCCCCACGTTGCTCAGCACGGGGACCTACTCCCAGGTGTGCCTCCCGCAAGCTGGCACCAGCCGGGAGGTCTATACCAGGCAGCACATGCCTCGGGGACCCCAGCCCAACCGCCGGGGTGCGGCCACACACAAGAAGGGCCAGTGAGATGTGACGGGTCAGCCCGGGCCCTGCTCGCCTGGCGTCGGGGAGACCCCACGGCAGCCTCGGGTCAGCCAGGATCTTACACGCAAACGTCAGGGACCGGCCTCCACTCACGTGGGCTCTGGTCACACACAGTAACTGGACTCTACTTTTGTCTTTTAAAAAAAAAATAGCCTACACACAGGAACGGGGAGATAAATTAAGTGCCACTATTGTACTAACGTGGAGGATTAGAAAAAAGTACAAAAACCAGTTATTGCTTAGGTTAGAAAAGCTCACGAGAAGCTGGTTCCAGGCACGTCTGCTGCGCGCCCCCGCTCCGGGGCCTCCGCGGGAACGGACTGCAGTGCCGGCTCCCGACCCTTCCCGGTGGCCTGTCCCGTCTGCCGGCGGCCGGCCTAGGGGTCCTCGTCCATGTCGTCGGGGTTGGGCGCCATGATGAAGTGCCGGGGGTAGGCCAGGTTGTGGGTGCAGGCGTGCACCTCCCAGCGGGCGTCGTCGCTCTCGTGCGTGATGTAGCGCTCCCCGACCCGCGTCTCGAACTCCCGCAGGTCCAGCCACGTCTGGTAGTCCTGCGGGAACAGCAGCGACCGTCGGCAGCCCGCGGGGCCCGGAGGGTGCCGGGAGTGACCCCGAGCGCTGCCCGGTGTGGGCAAAGAGACAAAACTATCTTACCCTCATCACTGCGTGAACAGCACCTCCTGGAAAGCACTACTGGCCCCGCGCCAAGTCCCATTTGTAGGACGGGCGTGGACGGCCCTTTGGCAGGCCTGGAGCCCTGCATGGGGGCTGATGCTGCCCGGGCATCCAGTGACCACCTGGCCCTCACGCCCCCGGGAGAGAACACACCCTCAGAGCCACTGAATGACCCCTGGATTGAATGCATTTCTTCCCAGCTAACGCTTCCTCTACTTCCTTGGAAAAATCATCTGAGGGGGGTTACTCCTGGCTCAGTGCTCAGAGGTTCCAGGACAACTGGGGGGGGGACATTCCTCTTCTGATGACTGCTCCTGGCAACGGCTTCCTGCCTCCATCAGCCTCTGACCTAGCCCCATCAATAGACGCCTTCCCTGGACTCCCCTCCCCTCAGCTGTGAGCGTGCGAGTGGGGGCCTGGGGGCCCACACTCTCACTGCAGTGCTCACTGGGACAATTCCAAAATCAAAGTTAAAAATTCCCAAATCAAAGTCGGAACGGCCACGATCCAGAGACTCACCGCCCTCCTCTCGGAAGAGAGCATAAAACGGTGCTGCCACACCCATGCCGCTGGACCCCACGCCAGGCTGTTTCACTTGGAATACCCCGGAGGGAGTGGGCAAGGCCCCGTCCCGCCCCAAGGGACCCAGGCCCGGCAGCCCAAAGCCTCTGGAACTCAACGGCCACCCTGCTCACGGCTGCTCTCCGTATGCCCCGGCCGGGCCTCACCCACGAGTGAACCTACCCTGGATGGCGCGGCCATGAACGCGACATCTCCTATCTCACACCACCCACACTCCAAGAGTGGCGCGCCACATTCGATGGGGCTTAAAGCAGAAGGCAGCCAGTCTTACAGGGAAGCATATTTTGCAGATATAGCACAGCGGTAGGGCGTTGGCCTTACAAGCGGCCAACATGGCCGACCCGAGTTCGATTCCTCCGCCCCTCTCGGAGAGCCCGGCAAGCTACCGAGAGTATTCGATATGCCAGACACAGTAACAACAAAGTCTCCAATGGAGACGTTACTGGGCCCGCTCGAGCAAACTGACGAACAACGGGAGGACAGTGACAGTGAGATATATATATATATATATACGTATATATGTATATATTATATGTATACACATACATATACAAAAGGCATATATATATATGCACACAAAGGCTCAGCCCTTAACAACATACTAGTAATCTCTCATAGAAGGGCTTAAATGGCCCCTGGGTGAAACACAACCATCTTCACACACTCTCCTCTAAGGAAAGATTTTTGGAGCACTTTCAGCAGTCTATTCATAACTAACAATACAAAATAAACGAATTCAGTTCTGCTTGAGGCAGGGGTTGGCGATTGGGATGAAAACATCCAAAATACGGTGGTGGGATTGGTGTGCGAATATTAAATGTAATCAAATATTGTGGACTGCTTCATAAAAATAAAATCATAAAAAAAGAGACGTCTGACCAAGGAGACCGCGCTCGGCTGACGGCGGTGGAGTGCACAGCCCCCTCTCAGCGGGCTCGCCTCCCACTCCCCGGGTTCCTTCCTGGGGCCCCCAGTCCAGGGCTGTGGCCCCGACTCCGGCAGGTTCTCGCAGCCCCCCGAAGGTCCCCGTGACCCACCTGCAGCCAGGGGTGGCTCAGCGACTTGTCCACGCTGTAGCGCTTCCGCATCTTCACCTGGAGCAGGTTGTTGATGAGGTCGATGGCTGCGGGGAGAGCAGAGACCCGTGAGCTGGGGCAGGACCTGCCGGGCTGGTGCGGAGGGGCTCTGGGCTCCGCCCTGCACGGACACAGCACGGGAGTGGCCGGGACCCTGCCATGGCCGGGCTGGGACAGAGAGGGTCAGACTGCCGTGCAGATGCCCTGGCCCTTGTGCCGTGTGGGGGGTCGGGACGGTGGCACCTGAGCCGGTGAAGCAGCTGACGCCCAGCTGCCTCCGTGTAGCCTTTCCGGCCTGGGCACAGCCGAAGTCACTGCCGCATTTTTTCGGGGATGGCTGGGGCCACACTCTGAGATGCTCAGGTCCCCCCCGCCCCAGCCCCGGTGGGCACTGGGGACCTTCTGGGATGGTGCCAGGGATGGACCCGGGATGGCCGTGTGCAAGGCCGGCGTGTTCTCCCTGGTGCTGCCCCCAGGTTTACCCCCAGTTCCAAGGGCTCCAGGCACCTGGATTCCTGGATTCTCAGGAGACCGGGACCCCGAGTGTGAGACCCTCACTGGGGCGCAGCCCACTGCCCAGCGTGGGTGATGTGGGGCGGCTCTGGAGCCAAGGGCATCCCAGACCCCAGCCCAGTTTCTCCCTTGCCGGGGCCCAGGCACAGCCAGGGATGGCCAAACTGTCTGTGGGTCCCGGGCACGGCCAGGGCCTGGGAGGCAGCCCAGGGGGTCAGCACTGCACTTGGCCTGCCTGGGCTTGACTCCTGAGAGCGTCTGGTGTGGACCCCAGGAAGCAGCGGGTCCATACACTGCTGAGCTCTGGTCAGCCCCTGGGAGCAGCTGCCTTACACGTGAGTCTCCACGTGGACACGCGTGTCCTCACACACGTCTGGGGCCAGTGGACCCTTTCCAGTGACTGGGGCTGGACTTTCCAGAAAATCACCAGTTCCAAGGGTTGGCTGAAGCCACGGTGTGGGGGCCCCCACGGCAGTCCTTCATGCCCGTGGCCTCCAGGAGCGCGTGAGAGTGGGGAGCCCTTCCCTGTCACGTGTGTATGGGGGCCGGCCCCGGCCCTGGTGAAGGGCACGCGGCAGGGTGCAAACCCTCACACGCCGCCAGGCAGGGGCACAGACACAGGAAAGGGAACGAGGGTCATGACCGTGAGCTCCAAGCCCCACCACGGGACAGAACCAGAGGAGCCGCCACGGCAGGCAGAGCTGCCCAGAGCCGCCCTCGCCATGGCCCCGAGGCCACGGGACGCAGCAGGCGCCTGGCAGGGGCGGCACACACAGGGTCGGGCCTCGGGGAACACAGACGGTCAGAGAGGGACGGCCAGGGCCCCGTCCGGACCGCACAGACAGGGTGGCCAGCGGGGCCGCCCGGAGACGGGAACGGGCTGGGGAGCGGGCGGGGACGGAGGGGCGGCCGCGCTCTCACCCTCGCCCGAGATCTCCCTCCACGGGTTTGGGGGGTACATGAAGGCCGCGTTCTGGATCTGGTCGTTGATGTCCTCGTCCTCGTTGAAGGGGAAGGTCCCGCTGAGGCTCACGTAGACGATCACCCCCACGGACCACATGTCCAGGGAGCGGTTGTAGCCCTTGCTGCGAAGCACCTCGGGGGCCAGGTAGGCGGGCGTGCCCACCACGGAGCGCCGGAAGGACTTCTCGCCGATGATGCGCGCGAAGCCAAAGTCGCAGAGCTTCACCTGCGGGAGGCCACGGGGGTCACCTCGCCTCTGCGTCCCCGACACCCCCCCGCACCGACTCTCCCGGCCCATCCCAGGACGCTGGCTCGGCCGACGGCCTGTGGAACACAGAGGCCCGCACACACCCTGCAGTGTTCCTGCTTGCTCATGGACTGTCAAGTCACGTGGCGGGCTTCTGTGCGGGGCACCTTGGAATTCACGGGCACCACCACCACCACCACCACAGTTTGGAGGAAATGAGGGTGCCAACGATCACTGGTCATCTGGCTCGTTGAACGAGAAGTCAGGGCACTCCAAAGTCGGCACTGGGGGCCAGAGAGCACCAGGGCGACGTCCCCACTTTGCGCAAGGGAAACACAAGCTCGATCCCCGGCTCCAAAGAAGGTTCCCTGAGCACCGCCAAGGGTGACGCCCGAGCAAAGCGTGGCCCCTGAGCCCTGCTGCGCGTGGCCCCAGAGACGGCTCAGGTTATGCCTGTGCCTAGACTCTCCCCACGCAGACTAACCGGCTCGTAATGAAATCAGGCTGCGTGGGCAGCAGCTACTCATTTGCCCAGTAGAAGGATGAAATGAGAGATTGCTGGACACAAGTTTCCTATGGGCCGAAGAAATAGGACAGCGGGGAGTGTGCACTGGCCTTGCATGTGACCGACCTGGGTTCCATCCCTGACACCACATATGGTCCCCCAAGCACCACCAGGTGTGACCCCTGAGCACCGCCAGGTATGGCCCCAAAAAACAGACAAAGTTTCTGTGACTGCAGAGCCAAAGAGGGCATGGGAGGCGCAGAGAGCCCACGGTGCCTGGGTGAGGGGTCGCGCCTGCACAGGCTGAATGGTCAGAAGGACGCAGCCCGGGGAGGTCCTGATCCTCTGGCTGCAGGGCGGGGGTGGGCCCGCGGAGAGGACGAGCACGGCCCCTGCTGGGCGCCAGGGCTGGGCGGGGGGGGGGGGGGGGGAGGGCAGCAGCCAAGCAAAGCTGCCTGTACTCCGGCTGGGCCACGTAAGGACCCAGCGGTCCCCGCAGTGGAGGCTGGGCAAGTGGGACCGTTGTGGCGGGGTTACAGAAGCGCGTGCTCAGACTGGCCACGAACCTGCGCCTGGACTCACTGGCGGTGCTGCTGGCCACTTGTTACTGGTCTTTCGACTGTGCAAGGACGGGAATCACTTTATTTGGGCTGTGCTCAGGGAACCACACGCAGTGCTGGGGGTCGAACCCAGGTCAACCATATGCGAGGAAAGTGCCCTGACTTCTCTCTCTCTCTGGCCCAAGAAGCAATTACTTTTACTTGTTTTTATTTTGGGGGCTGTGGGGGGGGGGGGGGAGAAATCACACCTTGAAGTGCTCGGGGCTGACTTCTGGCTCTGTGCTCGGAAATCACCTCCTGAGTGACACGGGACAATATGGGATGCCGGGGATCAACCCCGGGCTGGCCACCTGTAAAGCACTACCCCCCAGTCTCTAATTCATTCCTTTCCCCACACTGCCTGGGAGCCCCTAAGCCACTCGGGGTAATCAGCCCCTTTTTGACTGTAAATGGTTGGGTTCCAGAGACATTTCTGTAGGGCACGAATCCATTTTGCAAGTGCACAGCTGCGGCACCCAAGATATTCAAAATAAGCCATGGACAATAAACGATCCAGCGTCTGCCCCTGGCAGGCAGGGTGGAATGGGGGCGGGAAAATTCGAGCAAAATATAATGCCCAAAAGTAGAGAGAGAGTGTTGGGGAAACTGCCTGCCACGGAGGCAGGGTGAGGACTGAAATGGGGTGGGGTGGGGGTATACTGGGGACATTGGTGGTGGAAGCGTGTTCTGGTGGAGGGATGGGTGTTCGATCATTGTACTGAATCTCAAACATGACAGCTTTGTAACTGTAGCTCACGGTGATTCAATAAAAAAAAAATAATGTGGCGTTCATGCCCAGTTCCAACAGCTTAGTCAATAGCTGAATAAATAGTAGTACTCCTGTGTTTTAAAAAAAAAAGCCTCTTTTTGGCTGTGAAACTACTTTGCATCAGGACCGATGCTTTCGACAAAAACAAAATTCACCCAAGTGAGAAACCCCATGATGGGCCTGGAGCCAGGGACACTGCACACCCTGGCAGGCTGAGAAGTTGTCTGGAAAACAGTCTGAGGATGAGACTTCAGGCCGAAAGCCCCGTGTGCTCCCCTCACAGGCAGAGCTGTGACCACACGTGTGCTGAGCCTTATTCCCAGTGGTCCAGCTCGGTCTGGATCTAACAAGAACCAGCAGACGTGGGCCGGTCTGCAGAACATCCTGGCAGTGAGGCTCTTGGTGGTCAGTTTCTGCTGACCAACGTGGTGCCTGGAGGCAGGTTAGCCCGAGACCCTCGCAGCCTCTCGGCTCTGGGCCATCCTCACCTGTGGGAACGGCTCGGCCGATGCCAGCAGCACGTTCTCTGGCTTGAGGTCACAGTGGACGATGTTCTTAAAATGCAGATTCCGCAGAGCAACAAGTATCTGACGTGAAAGGAAACAATTTGCTTTTAAATGCCTGGAAAGGAGCGAGCACGAACCCCCAGTCTGAGCCCCGACGTGGCTCGGCGGACGAAAGCCCCCTCGGTGCGGCTGGAGCTCACGGAGGCCGGCGTGATGCACGCGTGCGGCTTCGAGGAGCCGGCTGGGCCCCGCGAGCGAGCACGTACCTGCGTCACCATGAACTTGGTGATGCGTTCCGGGAGGCGGCTTTTCTCGCTGGACAGAATCATTTCCAACATGTCTCCGTGCAGCTTCTCCATGACTACAAACACTCGCTCTGGGGTTTCAAACATACATTCCAGGTTTACAATCCCAGGGTGGTGCAAATTCTGAAGAGTTGCAGAACATTTATTTGACCGACTGAAGCAGAGAAGCAGTTCCAACACCACATACATCTCTCCCAACGGCGCGACCCGCCAGGCGCGATGAGAGGGCGGGCTGGCAGGCCACGCCGCACACGTGCCCACGGACACACGGCTTTCCTGCCCCCTCCCGCGGCCTCCGGCCCTGGGCAGGGCAGCAGCTGGCACGCGGGTCTCTGCCGAGGGCCTGGCCTGGCTCTGCCCGGGTGCCACTCGCCCGCCCCATGCCCTGCTCCCTCTCAACCCGTGCCCGGCTCTGGAACAGGGCGCGTGGGGCTGTCCCCACTGACCAGCGCGAGGTCCTCTGAGAAACACACACGGAACCCTTCCTCCAAAGCCAACTGGACACAGCCGCCATGCTCCAGGATGTTCCAGGACCAAACTCCTGGGGTTGACTTTTGGCTTCGGTTTTGGGGCCGCACCCAGGGGTGCTCAGAGACACTCCTGGTGGGGCCTGGGGACCTAGGGGGGTCGGCCCTGTGCGGGCAAGCGCCCAGCCCCGGCACCATCTCTGTCCGGAATGCTGGGGTTTCCCGCCCTCCTGGCTCCACCCTGAGTCTGTTCTCCTGGCTGCGGGGCTCCGGGCTTGACTCCTCAGAAGCACCTTCCGATGCCGCCCCCTTACCGAGGGAACCCAGCTTGGCGAAGAGGGCGACCACCCATTCTGGGGGCCAGGGGTCAGCTCTGGAATGGGTGCTTGAACCTGTCTAGATTCCCGCTGTGCCCGCCAGCTGTTCCAGCCCCCACAGTGGTGCAGGGGCTGTGGGTCATTCTGGCTCAGAGCCCGAGGTATGCTCGGGGACCCCCCACCCCATCACTTCCCTTTGCTTGGTCTGGAGTCCAGCATGTTCCCCACTGTGGGGTGCCTGCAGCTCGTCTCTGGGGCCCCCAGCACTCGTGGGGGGTGGGCCAGTCCCAGAGAGCAGAGTCCCGGGTGGGTGCTGTGGGGTGTCTGCCCCAGAGCCAGCCCTCGGGTGACCCGACAGCGGTGTTTGGGAATGTTCAGAAAAACAAGGACCGGTGGGCAGTGTGCAAGTGGCCCGATGCTTCTCTGTCAGCCGGTGGGGCCCAGGGATGGTGCAGGGCCAACGGGGCCGGCTGGAGGTCCCCAGGGAGAGATGGGAGCCAGGGGGGAGGTGAGAGCCCAGGCCAGAGGTGGGGCCCCTAGGCGGGGAGATCAGGCTCCGAGGGTGGTCCCGTCCTGTCCCACAGAGCCAGGAGGTCCCGCTAGAGGTGCTGAGGCCGGGACACGAGAGCTTGAGTCTCAGGACAGGGCTGTACTGGCCCCTGCAGGAGTTCAGAAAAGTGTCATGGTGGGTTCTAGTGCATCGGGCAATGGAAGCCACTGGAAGGGGATGGGCACGTGGCCCCAGAACAGTCACGGAAAACAACGTGCTGACAGGGGGCAGCCTGCAGGTCCTCCTGCACCTGGGGCAGGGAGGGGCTGGTGCTGAGCTGGGATGGGCACTCAGCCGGGGGGGGGGGGGGGGGCGACCTTTCCTGCCTGGGGGGTGAGGCCCAGACCCGAGCCTCACGCTCGCGGGCAACAGAGTCGGGCGCCAGCGGCCACACAGATACGGTCTAAGATCCCGAGTGGGAGCACAAAGCCTGAGGAAGCCCCTCTGCCTCACCTGTAAGATGGCCACCTCGTTCCGGAGCTGGCTCTCCTGTTTGGTGGGGAATCTCATCTTGTCAATCACCTTGATCGCCACGTCCCTCCCGGTCTTGCGATGTTTGCCTGTTTTCGAAGTGCAGGACAGACAGACGGTCACCCCATGGGCTGCTCACGTCTCTCGAGGCCAGTTTGCTCCCTCAGATTTGGCTCTGAGAATCGAAGCCCCCTTGCTGTGCTGCCCTGAGAGACTCCGTCTCGTTCTTCACCACAGCAGCACGTCGGAGTAAACACGCGTGCAGAGAACACCACGCCGGAGAAACGCCGGCTGGCACCAGGGACCCGTCTCGGGTGTGGGAGGCGCCAGTCTCAGTGCTCTGAGCACTGCCACGAGACCATGCCACATGCAGAGCAGGGCAGGCAGATGGGGACACGGTGCTGTGGAGGGCGGGGACTCTTCCACAGTCCAAATCGCAGCTTCCGCACACAGCACACGGGCCCTGGACCGAGAACAGCCACTGGCCACAGCCAGGCTGCGTGGGTGCTGAGGGCGGGCCGGGGGGCCAGGAGCCGGACTGACTGACAGCCATGCAGGAATCCAGGCCTCATTCCCGACTGACCACTCATGGCCAGAGCGACTGATGGACGGAACCTGGCCCGGGGAAAGGCCTCCGCTGACGGGCTCAGGTCGTCTCGGAGGTGCCCGGGAGGCAGCCATGCCGCCTCTCCCAGTGCCCAGGGCCCTGGACAGCTGTCCCTGCGCCCTGGCACACAGGGCAGAGGCCACCGTCACTCACCTCCATAAACGATGCCGAACTGGCCGGAGCCCAGCACCTCGTCTGCAAAGATCTGGTACACAGAGCTGATGTCCTGTGGAAAGGAAAGAGGGTGTGACTCAGGGGGTCGCGGCTGCGTGTGGATCGAGGGGGTGAGGGGCGTGTGTGATGGGGGCAGAGTCCACCTCGCTGAGGCCCCAGCACAGACGCCAACAGGACACCAGCGACTTCCTTTCCGAAGCCTGAGTGTGGCAGGCTCCCCATGTCCAAGGGGCACCATTCTGGGCCCCTATGGAACGGCAGCGAGCTGGGAGGATTGTGGGCATGAACTTCAAGCACCGGCTCAGCATGGAGCAAGCGCGACACCGACGGGAAGGGCAGCAGAGGGAAAGACGCGCCCAGCCCAGAGCCCAGCAGAGTCAGCCCTGGGCGCTGCCTGGTGTGGTCCAAACACTGAAAATGAAAGGTCTGAAAACAAAACACGTCCCTCAACCCTCCCCCCTCTACTCCCCCTCCTTCTGTCGTGTCCACTGGCCGCAGGGCTTTGGCTGCCAGGAGTCAGGACACTCTCAGTCCAGGTCTGGCTGTCCCCGGCTGCCGGCCACATTGGTACGCGCGGCGCTCCCAGGCCCACTCCTGTTCCACTTCTGTTCCGGCGGCTGTCGTGATTCTACCTCAGTGGGCTGCAGAGTGAAGGGGACGCGACACCCACAAAGAGTGTGTGCCCGCCAGGCCCGTGAGAGCCGAGACCCTCACAAACGCCGTGTGCTAGGAGGTCTGTTGAGGGCCAGTTTCACTCTGGTGCCTGGCGCAGGGGTCCCTCCCGCTCAGGGGTCAGGTGGTGTCGGGACTGGGCGGGGCCCTGCCCACGGCTGCTCACTCAGGCCAGCGCTGCAGAACTCGTTTTTTTTTTGCGCTTTGGGTCACACCCAGCCATACACAGCGGCTCCTCCTGGCTCTGCACTCAGGAATTACTCCTGGCGGTGCTCAGGGGATCCTATGGGAGGCCGGGGATCGAACCCGGGTCGGCCATGTGCAAGGCAAACGCCCTCCCCGCTGTGCTATCTCTCCAGCCGCCGCTGCAGAATCCCTGAGAAAGCTCAGGTCCTCCCTGCCACGTGTGTTTCTCATTTATTAAAGAAGTCGCTCTCTGTCTCCTAAGTCCCTTCTGCTCTTTAAAGTTTCACGATGAACTGAACACTGCCAGACAGACGAGACGGAACAGGGCTTCTGACACCCGAGGGAATACATGTGTCGATGAGACGGAGCTCACATCAGGGCCAAAGGCAGCGGGGGCGTCCTGCGCCCTTTCTCACCATCCCCAGCGATGGAGCGCCCTGCCAGGAAGCCTCAGAGAGTCTGTCCCCAGCCCGAGGCCCACTCAGGGGTTGGCAACAACGCTGTGGGCCAAAGCCGGGCTGCAGCCCCTTTCTGCAGGATCCACAGGCTGGGAATGGACTCCAAATATTTACATGGCTGAAGAATCGGCACTATTTAGTCAGATGTGAACAGGAAACCTCTCGGCACTGTTCTCACGCCCCGCACGAACCCCTGGCCGCCAGCTGCGCTCACTGAGCCACTGTCTCCTCACAGTCACTGTCACTGTCTCCTCACGGTGACTGTCTCTTCACAGTCATGGTCTGTCACAGCCACTGCCTCCTCACAGCGGCACTCTGCTCCTCCGACCTGCCCCACACGCTCGCAGCCCCGCTCAGGGCTCAGCCCTAACCCCCTCCTCCGTCCCGGCTAGAGCAGAGCTGCTCCACCCTCTCCTCAGGAACCTTCTTCCCCAGCCAGCGCCACCCCCTCCTCAGGGAGTTTCTTCCCCTTCTGGCCTCCGTCTCAGCTCCATCCCTTCTTCAGGAAGCTTCTTCCTCTGCCGCTGTTCTCTCTTAGCTTCTCCCTCAGAGCATTTCCCCTCACCTGGCACCGTCTGCGGCACAAGTCACTCTTCACCTCAGCCTCCTCAGCAACCCTCTCTCCCCGGGGATTCTTGGCCATTTCTCTGATTTTCACCCGTTATTGTCCTTAGTTGGGCTGGAGCGATAGCACAGCGGTAGGGCGTTTGCCTTGCATGCAGCCGACCTGGCCGAGCCGGGTTCGATTCCTCCGCCCCTCTCGGAGAGCCCGGAAAGCTACCGAGAGTCTCTCACCCGCACTGCAAAGCCTGGCAAGCTCCCCGTGACATATTTGATATGCCAAGCACAGGAACAACAAATGTCACAATGGAGACGTTACTGGGCCCGCTCGAGCAAATCGATGAGCAACGGGAGGACCGTGCTATTGCCCTTAGTCATCCAACGAGCACACGTTCACTGAGACTTGGACTTACCACATTCTCCTGGATCTGACAATTCGATACAGAGATACTGGTGGACAAATCTTCTGTGAGACAAACACACAAGAACAAACGCGTTAGCGGGACGCAACTGATGTTTACCGACACACACAGGCCACCGCACACTATGTCAAGAGCTGGCTGCCTTCGTCCCCACACTTCCGCGCCCGAGAAACTCATCCAAGTGCTTAATACTTTATTCATCAGTGAAACTGGTCAATACAACGGCACACCCAGGCAAAGCCACATCCCCCACGTGTTCACGGGGACAGAGCGTTTGCTGAGAACTGCCGGGACACGTCACCAAGCTAAGCCGCACAAGACCAGCAGCTCCTACACTTACGATAAAAAATACGTGATCAGTCCTTGTGAAGGGAAGCGGAGGTCTTGGGGGAGACAAGGACCTCGGTCTGTGTCTATCTCTACACGGCTGCACCCTGAAACGCACGCCGATTTCCCCACCTCTGCTCACACGTGTCTGGTGTGGGCAAATCAACTGACCACATTTTGGGGCAAAAGTGTCCAATGTCGCCACACAGGGTGACTGTTTTCTGAGCAGTCCCCGAGGCAGAAAAACGCTCTCCACAATCAGCCTGTTTTTGGGAGGGGGGGTTGGACCCCCAGTGTGGACGTGGGGGGCGTGGGTGCTCTCTGGAGAAGGGGCACCTTCTCCTCCTATTTCGTGTATCTACCCAGCTGCGGGGGGGGGGGGGGGGGGGAGTTGGGGACGCAGAGGAAGTGACTGACAAGGCAGCCGTGAGAGGAGCCAAAGGCAGGGCCTGCGTCTGGGCATTTCCTAACTCCAGGCAGGCGCGAAACGCTCGTTCACAGGGAAAAGGGCAGAGTAGGACCCAGGTGAAGTGGTGTGACCACCCAAACCCGCTCAGGGATATGAACTGAAGCTGTTTCTGTCCTTTCTTAGGGACCGTGCCTGGGGGCGGTGCCTGGGGTCCGACCCCAGGTCTCATGAGTACCACGCCCGTGATGTGCGGCTGGAGCCCTAATCCAGGGAATCGTCTCAAACATGAAATGAGGCAGAACTCGACACAGGGGCTCAGCCTGGCTTTCCGGCTATTCCAAAGTCCTAGGGTCAAGCCCAAGGTCATGGGCCCTCCCTGAAAGTCCTCAGGGCCAGGGGTGGCCCCCGTGTGTCCGGCCAGAGAGCTGGTTCTGGCCACCACATCCTCTAGGCTCTGTGGGCGGGTGTAGCCAGCCTGCTGGGAGTGGGCGCAGGGGGGAGCCATCAGATTCTGGGCCGGGGACACGTCGGCCCCGTGCTTTGGTGCAGAGAGGGTCAGAGCGCACAAGGCAGGAGTCTTACTCGGGCCGGGAACTGCCCTCTCAGGCCATCAGGAAGGGTCTGTGTGTGTGTGTGTGTGTGTGTGTGTGTGTGACTCACACCCAAGCTGAGACAGGATTCCCTTCTCTGTGCCTTGTGACTTTCTGGGGACTGAGTTCCACTCACGGCTGTAACTAGATGATCAAGAAACACGGCCTACAATACCCGCAAACTGTGAGGGCAGCAAGATCCCAAGAATGAGCTTCAAGGCCTTGGGTGCCCGCCTCCCCATGGCCCGTCCCTTGGGTCTCCACTTCCCCAAGCTGGGGCCCACACCCCACGCCCCTCTCCAAGCTCTGCAGAGTCGAGGCCAACAGCGTTTCTGCCTTCCGAGACCTCACAAGCACAAGGTGAGACAACACCAAGGCTCATTCCGGGCCAGTAGGTCCAAGTTGTCCCAGCATTGACCCTCTGGGCCCTCGTGGGGGTCAAGCCCTGTTGGCTGCCTTTTTGGTTCTTCTGGGCTCAGCACTGATGGGCCTCAGAAGGAGGGGCTGGTACCGAGAGGCATGGCCTGGTCGAGGTGCGTGTACGCAGACGTCAGGTGCTCATAGAGGTTGAGGTTACCGAGACACGGCACGAAGGGGCAGGAGACCACGTGGGGCAGTCGGCCCCAACCAGCCCCAATGGGCCCCAACTAGCCCCAACTGGCTCCGACTGGCCCCAACCAGCCCCAGCAGGCCCCGACTAACCCTGAAAGGCCTGGCAGACCCCAACCAGTTCGAAGCAGCCCTGACCAGTCCCAATGGGTCCCAACTGGCCCCGACCAGCCCCGACCGGCCCTGACCAGTGTGGTGCTTACTGTGATCCTTCCCCGGGCCAGGGGCCGTGCCCACGCTGGCCTGCGGGGTGACGGGCATGAGCGCCTGGCGGATGGCCTTCTCCCAGCTCTGCGCCACCTCCAGCCCCACGCCGGCGGCTGCCAGGACGGGGCTGTGAGCGCTGTCCCCGCTGTCCTCGCCGGCAAAGTAGACCATGGTGTCGGTGATGATCTCGAAGCAGTGGGGGTTGCTGCCCGCGGGCACGTGCGAGAAGTCTTGCGGCGGGGAAATGCGCAGGATCTCGGAGAGCGGGATCTCCTGGAGGGGGGAGCCGAGGGTAGCGCCAGCCCCCCGCCAGGCAGCAGCGCCCCGTCACTGCCCGCGGTCGCCCACCCGCGCAGCCACACCCCTGGGGCGGCTGGTCACCGGCTGCCAGGGACTGACCCGCAGGAACGCTCGAACACCTCAGCGGAGCAAGTCTCAAGGGCCCACTGTCCTCCTGGGGGTGACCAGCCCAGCAGACGCGACTGCAGGGAGGATGCGAGACCCTTGTCTCTCTGACGGGACACGCACACATCACAAACATACACACACACACACACACACACACACATACTTACACACACAAAGCTAGGACACACACGGGGTGGGACACACACGGGATGGGACACACACTCACATGGGAGTAGGACACACACACACGGGGATGGGACACATACACACACACACACACATACATGGGGCCAGGACATACACACATGTGCGGGACAGGATGGATACACACAAACACACACATAGAGGGTCCAACACACACACAGGGGATGGGACACACACACACTCGGGGACAGGACACATGTGCACATGGGATGACACACACACACACACACACACACACACACACACGCAAGCAGGAGCGTTTGTGATGGACAGACATGCCTGAGCTCCAGGGCTCCGTGCACACACGGGCCTTACCTTGTAGTACTTGGAGCCCGACTCGTTCTGAAAGAGCGTCAGGCACTTGCAGTCCAGCCTCCAGTAGTGCCTCTTCCTCTGCAGAGGGGGCAAGGGTGTCGGCCGGGATCCACGCCCCACGCCCCCCTGAGCCCCCAACACGGACGCCGTCGAGAGGGCCCACGCTCCAGAGCCTGGGCGGTCCCAGGACCGCAGGGTGTGAGCGTGGGGACGGCACTCGGAGCCCCCCTGCCTCCTGCTGTCTCCGCCCCTCCGTCCCGGCCCATGCGCGCCCAGGGCTGGGTGTCCGCAGGCAGTGCAGGCACTTGCCTTCTACCGTTTGCTCACGGGGCCACCCGGGCAGTGCTCAGGCTGTGCGCTCAGGAATCCCTCCCGCAGGTTCAGGGGACAGAACCCAGGGGAGCGTGTGCAGGCGAGAGCCGTCCCCACTGTCCTGTGCCCTGGGCCCGCTGTCCCATTTAACAGGGTCTTAGTTTGGGGGCTTTCCCTCCCCTGGAAATTAGGGCGTGCTGGACTGATGAGGACTGATGTGGGCCACACCCCGCTCGGCCTGGTCTGTGCCCAGCCTGCCGGCGAGGCAGGGGCTGTGCTTCTGCTGCTGTCGGACCCTCCTGAACCTCAAAGGCCCTGCTAGTGTGGATGCACCATCTGGCCAGCCCCCAACAGTGGGGGTCAGTCCATGCCCACCGCAGGGCCAGAACCAGGGTGAGCACTGGGTGAGCACAGCATCCGAACTCGTTCCTGCACATTCCCTGCAAACGGAAACGCCCCAGGGGGAAATCGAGGCACGGGGAGATCCTCCCAACACCTCCAGAAAACGAGGACGGTCACCGAGGACCACCGAGAGCCACGTGCCGGGGCACGTCCTGACCAACTGCAGCTAACAGCTCCCCCTGCGTGGGGGCGCCTGGGGGGTGGCGCACTGACCAGGGCGTCCCGGCTGGTGTGGTGGACCATCCAGCCCTCCTTCACCACCGTGCTGCTCTTCCTCTTGGTGTGCTTCACCGACTGCACCACGCGCATCAGCGGGATGTTGTTGCTCGTGGAGGGACTGAAAGAGACGCGGGACCGGGGCGTCACATGACGCGCAGATGGACAGACCCGAGAGGCGGAACGGCCTCCTCTTCCTCCTCAGGAGAAGACTGACCCTCTCCTAAGCTTCCACACAGACTCAGCCGGACCGTGAGGCCCCTTTGGTCAGGAGTATCTTCCGGATGGGCATAAGAGCAAAGACAAGCGAACCTGAGGGCAGTCACAGCTCTGAGCTCACCTAGGCCGGCGGGCAGGGGGCCGGAGGGACAGTGACCGGGCCAGGGTTGGTGTGTCGAGTGCCGGAACCACCACCCTCAGCACTGCCCTCCGGTGCTTTGTAAGTATGAAGACAAAGGAAAGATCATTGTATAACTGAAACCCAAGCACAAACTTTGTAAGTCCACAACTGTATACCTCATGGTGTCTCACTAATAAAAATAAATAAATTTAAAAAATCATTTTATAAAACTAAAAAAAAAAAAAAAAAGCAAATGAGGTGTGCGCCCGGCTGACAGGCCCTCATCGAAGGTCGCCCTTCAGGACGTTGCCACCTCGGGCTGAACGATGACACTGAGATCCGTCAACAGGGCCCAAAGCAGGGCCTCAGCCCCCAAATCCCAGGCTTCACAGGGCAAACCCCACCACGCAGCTAATAACGCACACCCGAGCCACGAGTGGTGCAAGTGATTTACAAACGTTAAGACGACATAAGTGGGAGCAAAGACGGCGTGGAGGGCTGGGGTTACCGGTGACAAAGCAAGGGACAAGGCAATTTTCATCAAGTGTTTGAAAAACGTGCTATGCTGACTCAGTCTCAGTTACTTGTTTTCTCGTTAACGAAGAAGATTTACGTGAATTTGTTTCGCCTCCACGTCGGGTGAATAGGAAGATTTAGCAGAGCAACAGAGCTGGAATTTAAGGAGCCCAATTGAACACGACAATTCAATAGGGGGAGGCTAACAAAAGACCCACGTCGCTAAATACCACCCTCCTTGCCAAGGAGAAGCAAATCCTGCCAAGGGCTGACGTTCTACTCTGTAGAGTAGCGTACCGGGTTCACGCCAGCGCTGAAAACAGAGACGGAAAAGAAAAAAGAAATACTCAACTACTTCAGCTCAAGGTGAGATCTCAAGTTGACCGTCCTTGGGACCAGCGGGGGCAGCGTCTGCCTCACCTGTAGCCGACCGCCTGCCTCCCCCCCGCCCAAGTGATCCCTGAGAGCAGAGTCGGGAGGAAGCCCTGAGCACTGCCCGAGGTGGCCTGCCCACCCGAAATAAAAGCTGGACATATTATTATCTAGTTCTTACTCTGGAGAAACTGGCAGGCTACCAAAAGGATCCTGCTCACATGGCAGAGTCTGGCAAACTCCCCGTGGTGTGTTCAATATGCCAAAAATCAGTAACAATGATGGTTCTCATTCCCCTGACCCTGAAAGAGCCTCGAATGTGGCAATTTCTAAAATCTCAGGGCTAGGGCGAAGGAGACGTTACTGGTGCCTGCTCGAGGAAATCGACGAACAACAGGATGACAGTGATATAGTGAGAATCCAGTAAGGTTTTGAGAAAATGCTACTAGATCCACAAAATGAAAATTCTGCCCAATCAGCGTGAACATCTGAGGCTTCCCCAGGGCCCGGACTGTGACTGGGAGGGCCCTCCCAGCGCCGGGCGACCCCCAGCAGCCTTTAATCGGGGGGGGGGGGGGGGCAGGGCACGTGCCACTCACGCTCATCCCGTCAGACAGGTGGTGCCAGACATGGTCACTGCTGCCAAGTTTTACACCACACTCGGGGCAGAGCGCCACCAAGGACACCGCCAGAGGCCGAGAAACACCAACTGTCCCACTGGGGTGGACATGGTCCAGCAAGGGCGGGGCACAGACCTGGACACTTTACATCTGCTGCTGGGGACGGCCCACGGGCGTTACAGAAAGCCAAGTGGCTCTGGGCGGACAAGCAAGGCCCTTCCCGCTGATCCACTGACCACTGCCACCTGGGAAGAAGGCGTGGTTCTCCTTCCTGCCTGCCTGTCTGTCTCGTGGTGGCGCCAAGGACGGCGGCCTCAGAACACCGTGGCACGCGGAAAGGTCCCCCCGGCCCCGGTCCCGTCTGGCTCCCCACTTCCGGTGCCCCTGTGGAACCCCCGTGGGCCTGACCTGATGGTTTTGACGGCTTCGTCATCCTTCTCCACGTCCAGGTCGGATGGGTCCAGGAAGAACATCTTGTCGTCGGGGCGGGAAGGTTCCTCCGTGTCGTCCAGGCCACGGCCGCCGTCGCCGTGCAGGTCACTACTGTCGATGTCCATGGGCATGTCGGCGTCGGGGCCAAGGCTCGAGGGCTCTGGCAAGGCCACAGACGCGCTTCAGAGCCCAAGCGAGCGGCCACAGCGTGACCCGCGACACACCCCACCCAGCGCCAGGAAGTACTTCAGGATCTTGGAATAAAAATCTACAAGATCTGCTACGAAGGGTTTCCTGGGGGAGACTGTGCGAGTCAGCACAGGTCTGCGAGGGGCCACACGCCAAATCTCCCCGGCACGTCAGAAGTCAAGCGAACGGCCAGCGGTCCCCACACACAGGCGGCCAGCAGGGTCAGGAAGACGCTCCGGGCGTTTGTGCAGGTAAACGCACAGAAGAAGGGGACGTGATGGGGGAGGGGGGCTGCAGCCTCGAACCTGGGGCCCCGGGGTAGCTGTCCAGGCACCTTGGAGGGCCTGAGGCCAAGGCGGACGGCAGGATGCGCCCGTCCCACCGCCCAGAGCCAACCCAAGGTGCCCTGAGCTTACTCACCCCCATTGAAGGTGACCTCGCCCAGGCAGTCCCGGGGGACCTTCGAGGCACAGCGCTTGTGGCAGTTGAATTTACAATCTGAAAGAAATGGTGGGCCGGTTCATTTGGGCTGCTCAGGGCACCCGCAGAGAAACCGTCCTGAGCCCTACGGCGGGCGAGAGTCACAGCTCCCTCCACTGAGAACTCGGGTCCCGGAAAATGGGGCCCACGACAGGGACAGTGGGTCCAGTTCTGGGCGTGGCCCCTGCTCGCCCCACTGCCAGGCCCTCTCCGGGGGCCACTCCTGCGGGTCTGCAGGGGACCCACTGAGGCCGGGCATGCAGGGGGCTCTTGGGGCCTGCCCCCTCCTCCCTCTGACCACACAGGCCGCTCTGGGGTGGGGCTGACCGCTGGTGTCCCTCTGCAGCTGACCCTAAAGCCGCTCCTCGGCGGGTGACTGACAGTCCCAACTGCCACCCCTCAGATACACCCACCGGCCCTGGCTGGCCTCGGCGGGAGGGAGGCTGCAGTCGGGCCGGGCCAAGCGTTTCTGCAGAACCCACAAGACAAATACTTCAGCAAGCAACGGAACTCGTACTAGAGGACGCTGTCTTTCAACAAGAGCTCTTCCTCCCAATCCCATCATCTGTGGTCCTGCGGCTCCGCGGGTGGTGTCCAGAAGCCACTTCTGGCTCTGGGCTCCAGGGTCGCTCCCAGCCGTGCTTGGGGGGCCGCAAGGGGCCGGGGAGGGAACCCGAGTCCCCATGTGCCAACGGGCCACCCAGCAAGGGCGCGGCCCACCGTTAATTTCTTGGTCTGAGAGCCCACACTCCACGCCCGTGGCCTCGGCTGGTCCTAATGGTATCTGGGGACCACCAGGGCTGGGCTTGGCAGTGCGGGCATGGCACGGTGCCAGGAAGAGGCCTGAGCCCTGCCTGAGCCTGACAGACCAGGCATGCACACGTGGTGACACACCACTGTCCTGCACACATCCTGGAGAGCGGCCCTCGGACGCTCGGGCTACGCCGAGAGCCCCCGGCTTCAAGCCCGTCGGCCCCTTTGGCGACTTTGCACCAAGGACCCAGACTCCAGCCCTGCTCAGGGGGCGCCCCCCTCCCCGCCTCGCCCACTGGCTGTCTCAGACCCTCCGCCTTCCCGCTGCCTTTGAAGTCCTCACACAACAAAGCGAGGCATTCACAGAGGCATGAAAAGCTGCTCTCAGGACTGCGAATCCTCTCCAGGATGCAGCCTGTCTGCTTTGAGTGGATTCTTTCTTCGAGCCCGACAGATGAACATGAGGGCAACGTTTCTTTTGGAGTGGCGCGACTCCGAAAGATACGGGAAACACCGAAATACGTGAAACGTATTTCTATAAGGAAAGTACTGAAAGCAATGGAAACTTTTTTTTTTATAATGAAAATAGCTTAGGTAACTTCAGGAAGACGACCTGCTACTTTCTGATTCAGCAACTCTGAACAAACACTTCTTTTAGGCGGTAAAATCGGTGAACTAATAACCCCGTGGCGGCAGCGCGGGGATTTTCCTTAAACTCGTTCACGACACACTTTGCGCGTGCCGGCTCCTCCCTGGACGAGGTTCCCAGAACGCGTCTCCCCACATCTCTCCCTTCATCAGTCTGCTGTGGGCTGAACCGTGGACAGCTGACCTTCAGACTCCCGCCCCAGACATGCCTGAGAGGCTGCGGCCACACTCTGTTTTGCTTGGGGGCCACACCCGGCGGTGCCCAGGGTGTCCTGGAGGCCAGACCCTGCTGAACCCTCCAGGCCCTGGGCCGGTTCTTTCCAGCGTGAACTACACAGCAGCGTGTGTTCGAGAGAAGCCACCAACACTGACGTCTGCCCTGGCCTCACGCGACCATAATCTCTGCATAGCCTGTAGCTATGTGAAGGTCTGCACTGCCGCACGTTACCAAGGGAAGTTCTTCTGTCTGTCTTTCTTTCTTTCTTTCTTTCTCTTTGTTTTTGGCTTTGTGGGTCAAACCCAGTGATGCACAGGGGCTCCTGCTGGCTCTGCACTCAGGAATTACTCCTGGCAGGGGAACCTCTGGGATGCCAGGAACTCAACCCGAGTCAGCCTCGTGCAGGCAACCCCCTTACTGCTGTACTATCGCTCCAGCCCCAGTTCTCCTTTCTTATACCCTTGAATCCATATACAACTGTAAACAGAATTTACTATAGCAGAAATCTCAAGACTAATGTTTTTTAGACAATACGAGATAACTCGGTTGCAAAACTACTCCTACTATGTAAAAGAACAGACCGACAACAATTATAACAGAGGGTCCCAGACTGACTTTCAAGAAAACAAAACCAAAAATAGCCACCACCACTCAGCGTATGATTTCCCCTACCCCCCGGACCGAAAAATCTACGATTTTTACAAGAATAAACTAAAAGCGTTCCCCAATTTTACCCACCCCAGCATTACAGCAGCCTCTGTGTGTGTGTGTGTGTGTGTGTGTGTGTGTGTGTGTGCGCGCGTGTGTGTGTGTGTGTGTGTTGGGGGCGGGGGTATCGCCCACTTTGGAGAACACTGACCAAAAAAATCCCATGAGACCAAAGTACATTTTCTGCCCCAAGCACTGCCCGAGGACGGGGCCGGGAGCCTGGAACGGTGCGCCAGGACAGTGGCACCGGGCACGACCAGTTCATGTTCCCTACGGCCAGTCCAGCTCAGGGACGACTCTCTGGGCTGACCACGTTCATGTCACTCTCCAAGGCACGTAACTGGGAGAGGGAATGTGCGTGTAAGTGCGTGTGTGGGTGTCTGCACGGGAGTGAGTGCGGGGGTGAGTGTGAGAGTGTGGGCGTATGTGTGTGTGTGGCACATACGTGTGGCACATGCGTGACTGTGTAAGAGTTTGTGAGCAGGTAACGGTGAGGATAAGGATGCGTGGGAACATGTGTATGAGAGTGGGTGTGGTACATGTGAACACGGATGGACAGAGGACAGCACTCTTCACGCGCTGGGCGAACCCCGAGTCCGGACCCTGGGCGCCAGTGGAAGAAACCTTTGGTGACCGTGTTTGGGCGGGCACCTTATAGGCAGAGTCACGCCCTCCCGCGTCTGTGCCGAGCCTGCCGTGCCCTGGCACACACCGCCCGGGGAATCTGGTCCACAGACACAGACACAGACACAAGCCCCGTCTGCGGCAAAGGCTTTGGACTAGGAAGACTTCAAGCCTGGATCTGTCAGCAAGCGCAAGTCTGAATTTTACCAGGAAAAACGCCCCGGGCCGGAGGGCTGCTCAGCAGTGGCAGACCCCGACCTGGTGGGAGCAGAGGGGTGGGAGTGCAGACCCCAGGATGGGCTCCCGGAGCCCCAGCAGACACAGCATGCGGGCGCCGCCAAGCTGGGCTATGACCCCGGCGACAGCAGAGCCCCAGGTGGGAAGGATAGCCCCTGGTGAGCAGGGTGTGGGCACAGGGGGATGTGACCTGGGGGCGGGCGGGCGCCACGGCCAGGGGAAGGGATGATGACAAAGAGTGATCAAAGTGATCAAAGGCGGTGCTCAGGGCTTACTTCCGGTGGGCTCTGGGGACACTATGGGATGCAGGGATTGAACCAGAGTCAGCTGTGTGCAAGGCAAATGCCCTCCCCGCTGTGCTATCCCTCCAGCCCCCAAAGGATCCAATGCTTTAAAAAGAAAGTAAATCACGGAGCCCTTCCCACTGCACTGTGTGTTCTGGGGATAAAGGGGCCTCCCTTTACACTCCATGCCCCAGGGGACTGAGGGGTCCTCCCTTTGCTCCCTACGCCCTGGGGGATGGAGGCGCCTACCTTTGCACTGCAGCCCTGGGGATGGAGGTGCCTACCTTTGCACGGTAGGCCCTGGGGATAGAGGTGCCTACATCTGCACTGCAGCCCTGGGGATAGAGGCGCCTACCTTTGCACTGCAGCCCTGGGGATGGAGGCGCCTACCTTTGCACTGCAGCCCTGGGGATGGAGGTGCCTACCTTTGCACTGCAGACCCTGGCGGAAGAGGCCCTTGAGCAGGCGCTTGCAGTACTGGCAGACGGTGGGCCGGGCATAGGAGTGCACGGCGAACGTGTGCGGGACCTTCACTCTGCACAGCACCATCTTCTCCATCCAGATGGGACGCCCACTCCAGGAAGGGATCCTCTTACTGGGCTCCTGGTGAACGTGTGACTGCGAGAGAAGGCGGGTTCCAGCTCAGGACAGGCAGCACCAGCCCCCCCAGCCCCCCGACCCCAAGTACCAAGATCAGGGCCTGAGCATAAAGGCCAGCTACGAAACGCTAGAGCCGAAACTCCAGACGCGGGGCTGCCGGCAGCGACCTCTGAAGCCCAACCCGCTCCCCTGCCGAGCAAAGATCAGCATTTCTCTGCTTTTATTTATTTAAAATAAGACACCCAACAACTTCAAGGATGTTCTCGTCCTCACACACACATATTCAGTGATTAACTATTTCCCAGGCACACACAGCATTTTTACAAATAAAGAACAAAAGCCGGAAGATGAATGCACGACAGGGCTAGAGCGATAGTACAGTGGGGAGGGCGTTCGCCTTGCACGCGGCCAACCCGGGTTCAATTCCCGGCATCCCATAGGGTCCCCTGAGCACCATCAGGAGTAATTCCTGAGGGCAAACCAGGAGTAACCCTTGCGCACTGCCGGGTGTGACCCCCACCCCAAAAGATAAATGCACAAAAGACGTACAGATCTGTCCGTCTGTGGGCCTCCCCTGGCAGTGCTCAGGGGTTCCCATCTCTGCATTCAGGAATCACTCCCAGCAGTGCTGGGGGACCCTATGGGATGTCGGGGATCAAACCTGGCTCGACCATGTGCAAGGCAAGTGCCCTCCCCGATGTGCATGGCCGAGTTCCAGGTGCTCAGATCTCTTCAGAAAACCTTACCCGGAAATCATCACAAAGAAGGAAACAAAGTTACAAAGTGTCTGTGTGACTCATACTGAAAGCCCGAGAATCTTCTGAAACAGTCTCAGTCTTTCAGACTTTAATACTGAAGCACAGGCAGGAAAATTTAATTCTATGTAACGCTGAGGACACAGAGACAGACAACAGATCACAGGGACACACATGAAACCACAACACACGAGGCGGGGGGAGGAGGGAGTAGGGGAAGGTGACAGGAGGCAGGAAGGAACTGCACAGGGAGGGCTGAGTGTGTTTGCAGCTGCGGCCCTAAATCCCCACGGCCCACCCCATGCACAGCCACAGGCCCCAGACACACACACACACACACACACACACACACACACACACACACACACACACTCTCTCTCTCGGAGAGCCCGCCTCCACGAGGTCCTTTCAGTTTCCGCTTCGGCACACGCCTCGTGTTCCAGGAAGGCTGCCTGGCTCCTGCAGTTGCACCTACCTCCTCCGCGGGCAGGGCCGCACACTCCGTCTGCAGGGTCCTTGGGACCGAGAGGCCGGGGCCCGGCAGAGACACGTTGGACAGGCGCCGCTTCCTCACGCCGCTGCAGTTATTGGGGATCTTGAAGGCACATCGTTTATGGTAGTTCAAGCCACAGCCTGAGCGTGTTGGAAAGGCAGGAAGTGAGGCACTGCACTCTCTCCCGAACCCGCGCCCCCTCCCGGGGCTGACACGGTCCCCGAGAGCCCACGCCACCTCGCGGCTTCCTAGCTGAGCACTGGTTTGCTTCTTTTGCCCTGAGCGTCTCTGAGCTCAGACCAGAAACCCAAAGGGCAGAGTGGGAGCGGCTGGCAGGCCGCAGGGGCTGGGCGGGCCCCGTCGGGTCAGTGAGCGCCCGCGTGGGGCCGAGTCCCGCTGTTCCGCGCGCCCGTGCCCAGAGCCCCCGCGGCCCGCCCGCCTCGGCCCTACCTTCGCACTTGAGGCCCTGCCGCACCAGGCCCCACAGCATCTCCCCGCAGTAGTCGCAGAAGGCGGGCGCCTTGTACGAGTGCACGTAGAGCGCGTGCGGCCGGATCTGGAAGTCCTCGACCGTGGCCAGGGCTGCGGAGACGAGAGCAGCTGGTCAGCCTGGCGGGAGGGGGGGGTAGGGGGGGGGGCACGGACGGGCCCACCTCACCCACCGGCGCAGGGGACAGAGCCCACAGGCGGCCGGCCACAGGGCCCCAGTGCCAGGGAGGCCACGGCCAAGGCCTGGGGTTGGCATGGCCTCCACGGGCGAGGACACAGCTGGACTCGGACCCGCCTGCCCGGCCTCTGTCTCCCCTGTCCTGCTGCCACGGAGGCGGGGGAGAGGGCGCCGAGGGGGCCGCTGTCTCCTGTCCTGCCGTCACGGGGGGCGGGGGGGGCGCAGAGGGGCTGATCGCAGAGGGCAGACCAACCACAGGCCCGGGAGCCAGCAGAGAGTGGGCACAGCACGGCCCCTGCCCACACCACTCGGAGACCCTCCCCAGCCCCCACAGCCAGGAGGGGCAGCGTCCCTGGCGCTGGTCAGCGTCCCCCACTCCCAGCAGCACAATGCTCCCCCCCCCCAGTCCAGCGGCCAGTCCCCCGGGCTGAGCAGACAGGACAGCGAACAGGGCACGTGCCCTGGACAGACAACCTGGCTCTGGTCCCTGGTACCCCCTCTGGTGCCCCGAGCCCCCCAGGATGATCCCTGAGCACAGAGCCCGGCCCTGAGCACCGCCATGTGCGGACCCGCAAAACAAAAAGCCAATGGCCACGTCCCTGCTGAAGGCCCTGGGACGAGCAGTTTCCTGCACCCCCGAGCGGGGAGCAGACCCCACCAGGTGACCATGAGCAGGAGGGAAGACGTCAGCCTGGGTGCCCCAGAGGCGGCTTCCTGGAGAGAAGAGGACCCTCGCCTGACGGTGCCGCCTCCCCCAGGCAGCGCTCACCTACCCGACGGCACCACCTCCAGGCAGCCCTCGCCTACCTGACAGCACCACCTCCACCAGGTCCCCCTCATGTATCTCGTCGGCCGAGGTGAGAAGCTGCAGGATGTTCTCGGAGTTCATGTCGTGGCGGAAGAGGAGGATTTTGTCGTACATGCCGAAGAATCCACACTCTGGAAACTGGGGGGAGGGAGGCGGGCGTGAGTGCCTCGGGGCCGGCCCCAGCAAGGCTGCGGGTGGGATCGGGAGGGCAAGACAGAGGCCGCCACGGCCACGCCCGGACCAGAAACCGAGTGGCCCCTGGGGTCGTGCTGCTCGGCAGGACTCAGTCAGACCAAGTCAGGCTTCAGAGACGCCAGCGCGAGCGCCCTGACAACAGCCGCCCAGGGCCGAGAGCGACTGAGACGCGAGAGCAGGGTGGAGAGGGCGCCTGCCCCGTCCATGGCCGGCCCAGCTCGGGTCCCGGCCCCACAGGAGCCCAGTGACCAGGGCAGGCCGGCAGGAGCCCATCAGGCCGAGAGCGACAGTGATGACCGGAACAGTCTGCCGGCCCCAGTGGCTCAGCGGCCTCAGCGCAGACTTGGTGGCCCCGTGGTGAAGCTGTCCGACGAGCGCTTGCCTGGCAGGGGCTGTTGGCTGGGACCCGGCGAAGGCCTAAAAACTGACTCCGGGGCCTCGGGTGCTGTCCCCATTTCTGCTGCCCCTTCTCGTCCTGTTCCAGAGTGCAGGAGGACGGTGGCCACGGCTGGGGCGGGGTGATACACGCTAGGGCCATCCTGGCCGCCCCCCAGGGTGGGTCCCCCACAGGCCCTTGACCCGGGGGGGCTCTGGCCGGGTGAGCAGCGGCCTTGGGGCAGCAGGACTCTCGGGCCGGACCTCACGGCGCTGAGCTCGAGAGCTGGACGGTGGGACTGGAGCCCCAGGCGGCCCCGTCTCCTGAGCCCACCTGCCTGTCTCTGTCCCTCGAGGAAACGGAACATGGTGCACCCGGCTCCCGCAGGCAGGGTCAGAGCGACAAGACAGCCTCCTCCAGGGCCCCAGGACCCCAGCTCCTAGCGTGCACCACCCCCCAGGGTTCTTTGGGTTCTGGGGCCGACGAGGGGCACATCAAGGGCCCCGTGGTGGGAGGAAACCAAACGTGGGCTCAATCTCCCACCCCTGCACGAGCGCCCCACCCCGCTCTCTGCCGTGGCACTCAGAGGGCTTCAGAGCTGCCACCGGCAGGGGAGACGACGTTAGCACAAGCCCACAGCAAAATGCCGAGAATCCCGAGTGATGTAGCAGGGTCTGGGCCAGCCCGGCAGGGAGATCAGGCATGTTCCCGGGTGGACGGAGAAGCCACAGCCGGGCCGACGCCCCACACAGCCCCGCATCTGTCCCCAGCGGCGAGACTGTCAGCCCGAGAGGAAAATACTGTTCCACCGGGAGCCTCAGACTCGAAGCCCCGCGAACGCGAGAAGCCAAGCCAAGGGTTCGCACTCGGCCCTCAGCAGCCCGGGGGGGGGGGGGGGGGGTGCAGGCACAATCTCACTGACGGCAAGCATGCCTTCTCGAGCCCACCACGTCTGTTCTCACACTCCACAGAGGAGCACTGCAGCGGGAGCACTGCACGCGGCAGGGTTCTGCACTGTCTCCATAACGTGAGGGCAGGAACACGGGGGACAGTCACTGCATCACACACGGGTCAAACCCTGGCACCCCTTAACAAGGAATCAGACCCTCTGACGCAGCGAGCACAGGACTGTGAGTTTTCGCAGCGGGGCTTCTGCAGGGTGCCGAGGAATGGAGTGGCTGTGAGGGCAGCTGGCTGCACATGCCAGGCGTGCCCCAGGATCTAGGGGACCCCGAATGACATGCCAGGGATCCTCCATGAGTTGGGGATTTCTGAGATCCCTGGTACTGCTGCTTCGGGTGCCAATTCTCACACGGACTCCAGTCTGAGTGCTCCCCAGAAACCCTCACAGCTGTTGAGAATCACAGCCCTGCATGTCCACCCAAACACTCGTCTCTCGGGCTCCAGGGTCCATTCCTGGGCTTGCCCACCCCCCAGCAGAGACACACCACAGCGAGGAAATGGCCTGGGCTTAAAGGAGAGTGCGAGCACAGCAGGGAAGGTGTTTGCCTTGCACGCAGCCGACCAGGGTTCAATCCCCGGCATCCTACAGGGTCCCCCGAGCACCGCCAGGGGAAATTCCTAAGCTCAGAGCCAGGAGCAACCCCTGAGCATCACTGGGTGTGACCCAAAAAGGAGAATGCGATTCTTCCTCCCTTGGGTGCTGGGCACCCCCAGGCTCACGCAAGTCACCGAGTGATGACTTGTGGGTCAGGGCTCCGTGGGGAGGGCAGGCAGGGGCTTTGTGGCGGGGAAGGGATCGGGCAGTCACCGCCTGGCTGAATCCCAGGTCAGCTGCCACGTAGACGGGCCCGTTCTCAGGCCTTACCGTCCAGGAGGCACGGGCACTGGGACGGCCGGGCGGACCCGCCCTTCACTTTGGTTTATGAGCCGACGTGAGGATCGGGGCTGAACAGACGGCGGGCCACATCCCAGCCACCATCCAGCGCCCTCCTAACGGAAACGTCCACTCTTCAGCCTCCTCCACGTCAACCCGGAAATCCCGTGTAAGGCTCAAGTGACCCATTTCCTGTCTGGAAGACTGACTAGTCACACATTTAATAAGAACCGGCAACTGGACGGCCGAGGGACAGTCTTGGGGCCAGGCTCCCTACCGGCCCGGGTTTGATTTCCCCAACACCACTGGGAGTGATCCTTGAGCACAGAGTCAGGAGTCAGCCCCGAGCACTCCCAGGTGTGGCCCAGACCCCAACCGCCAAAACAGAACTAGAAGCACCTGTCACGGCACTGAGAGAAGGTTCTGACCTCTCGGCCGCCCTGAGCTTCAGCAAGTCCCTCTGGCAGCAGCTGGACAGAGGATCCTCCAACTTCAGCACCAGGATTTCCTGCACGAATTGGAGGTGCACCCCCTGTCCCCCGCTAGGCACCTGCAACCCCCTCGTCTCCATTCAGGAGGACCCCAAACGGCTCCAAACACGACCAAGGTCCTGGGTGGGAGAAATGCTCGGGTCTTGCACCCCACCGACCCCAGGACCCCTGTCACCCCACATGCCCCCCAACACTGCCAGGAAGAACCCGAGCAGAGCTGGGCGCACAGAAGCCCCAGGTCTTGATCTCATTCTCATGCAAGGAATAAGGGGAAAATTCAGTGGCACCCTCTGAGAGAAAAGAACAGAAAAGTCTGGAGTTTTCTAGAAGAAACCGGCCCTTTCTCTGCACCACCCTGGGTAGGAGGAGCTCCCAGCCAGCTATGGGAGATGGAAGCTGGCAGCGGCGGCAGCCCAGGTGCCTGGAGGGCACCGGGCGATGTGGGGCAAAGGAAGGCCCCATGGAGGGGTCCCGCACTCTACCCTGCAGTCGACCCCATCAAAGTTCTCGCGGCAGCAGGAGGCCAGCGTGGGAAGTGGCCCGACCCTCTGCACGAGACAGATGACCATCGGCCCTCAGTGTGACCTGAATGCCGGACGCGTCTCAAGCCTTCAAAACCAAGGAAGCCACGTTGGGCGACATCAGCAAGGACACAGCCACGATGCCAGCAACCGCAGAAACGCCGCCCGCTCCCCCGGGCACGTGTCGCGGAGCTGGACGGATCCAAACAGTGTCCACTCGGGGCCACGTTCCCTCTCTCTCTCCAGCACATCCCGCGAGACCCCACAGCCTCACCGGAATCCCTCAGTTTCCCTGACAACACACGGGGAACATCATCTCCGTCCCTTTCCTGGGAATGGCTTGTTGATGCCGGCGGGACAGGCTTCACGTCCCTTGACCAAAGACCCAGGAGGCCCTGCTGGTCACGCCTGTCGGGAAGACAAATGCTGACTGGCCGAAGACTTGGTGTAGGACCTCCCCAATTCTACTGCCACGTGTCGATATTCGCATTTTAAACAGCAAGCCTGTAAGCAATTCTCTTCCTTCATTTCCTTCATTAGCTAATTAAAGGAATAGAGGTGTGATTGGTGTATAAGGATAGACCATTGGGCTGGAGCAACAGCACAGCAGGTCGGGCGTTTGCCTTGCATGCGGCTGACCCGGATGGATTCCTCCATCCCTCTCGGAGAGCCCGGCAAGCTACTGAGAGTACCCCGCCTGCACGGCAGAGCCTGGCAAGCTCCCGGCGGCTTATTCGATATGCCAAACACAGTAACAACAAGTCTCACAAAGGAGATGTTACTGGTGCCCGCTCGAGCTAGTTGATGAACTACGGGAGGACAGTGCTGTTTCCTTCATTGATCAGAAAGTCAGAGAGCCAACTGGACAGCTCCAGAAGTTCATGACCTTTCTTTTTTTTTTATTTTTGGGTTACACCTGGCGATGCACAGGGGTTACTCCTGGCTCTGCACTCAGGAGTTACTCCTGGCGGTGCTCAGGGGACCATATGGGATGTTGGGAATCGAACCCGGGTCAGCCACATGCAAGGCAAATGCCCTACCCACTGTGCTATCGCTCCAGCCCCAGTTCATGACCTTTCACAGCCCGAGTTTCCCTCCGAGGCGAATGCCCCACAGCTCGCCCGATTCCTCTGAAACACATCGTGGGAGCACTGTCGGGCCGATGTCTGTGTTAAACGCCGTAACTGCGGGGTTTTTAAACTCCATTTCTGGAAAGTGATCCCTGTGGATTACTCGTGCCCGCTCCGGCGTGACCCGAAACGTCCTGTAAGCGCCGAACAGGGCGTGCGCCTGGCTACCCCACCCAGCACGGCTCCTGGGCCGGCAGCTCTGCCTCTCTGCCTCCTGCTCACTCACGTCTCAGGCCGTTTTGGGTTTGGGGTTGTTTGTTTCCAAGCGCTTTTTCTCCTAGAGACTTGAGACCCCCCCCCCCAAAAAAACCCAAAAACCATCCAATAAAATCTTGAATGGAAAAAACAAAAACCAGCCACCTGGGAAGAAAAGACCGAGCGCCTGCCTTGCGGGGAACATCAGACCCTCTTTGCAGGCTGCCTGTTCTTGTTACTGTTGCTCTGCTGCTGTGTCAGGGCAGGGCCTAACACACCAAGGGCTCCACGGACGAGCTGCGTCCCTGTCCCACAAAGTATCTCACCACGACCTTCTTTACATCTGGACCCACCCGTTCCCTGAAACACACCAACACACACGTCCAACGCCTT